TATCGGTTCAATAATCAACATATAATACATTATAATTTTGTTATATTTKTATAATGAACCTAGTAGTATAATACTGAATAATAGTTAGGCATCTATGTAATGTAAGTATAAATAACAATTTATTTTAAATCAAACAATTATTATCCAGCGCAGGTATAGATATTGAGAATTGTCTTGTTTGTAATTAAACCAAACTTTACAAAATCATGTATACTATAGAAAGTAAAAATATTACCCCTGGCTTAATTTAATCAATTACCCCGATTACCTTTAATTGGTCTGTCTAATTTTAAAATGATCGCTGAATGATATAAGATAAAACTATATAATACTGCATAATATACTGAAACAATATAATATAGTTATTCAGAAGTATATCATTATTTAAAAAGTTAGAAATTGCTTAGCTAATCAAGTACCAATCTATTATTATTAACTTATAATTTATGATAATCATTCATCAAGAGAAAAAATCAATCTTTCTATACAAAAAATAGACATTTTTAAAACATAATTTGCTAAAATATTATTTAATAACTCAAGATTGTTATGTTTCATTCAAATTAAATAATTACTCATGGAATATAAATAGTTTGATAATTATATGATATATTATTAACATAAGCAAGTAATTATATATATTATACAATTTATGTGTTAAATTTGAAGTCAATGACAAATTAGTCTATGAACGATGAATAACAATCTGAGCGTAGACGCAGCTAAATGTATAAAATGTCTACAAAATAATTTCTAATTTACGATTTTCAAAATATTTTCTTAAACATTAAAATTTAAACGCTCATAGAAGATTGTTGTGTCTTTAATCTTTATGTTAAACTTTTTTTTTTTTAAACTAAAAAAACTTTTGAGAAAACCATGAGTAAATTATTTGAATCCCTCAGTGTGTAAAAGATAAGAACAATTTTAGCTTGGTTACAATATTTTTTTCAGCGTAAATATTTCTAGCCCTCCAATGTTGAAATTTAAAATTTAAATTGATTTTAATATTATAATTTAACATGCTTTATATCCTAAACCAACAAAAAAAATTTTAATTTTTCACGTATTTATGTATATAGCTCATTTTTCTTCACATTTCCAGTATACTAATCCTATGCGATKAACAAATAAAACGAGTGGTAGGTATACAAATTCACATTTAAGTTCTGCCTTAATTAATTTAAAAAAAAAATAGAAAATACAATTTTTGGTTTTAAAGACTGAGGAAACATGTCAAATTAAAAATAATTAATTATAAATATTTTTTCTGGTTAGACCAGCGGTTTGACAGTACATTTTTTGGTTAGAGGATCCAGAAAATGATCATCAAATTTAGATTTGATGATTGTATAAATGATTTTTTTTATTATTCTTATAGAACAAAAGTGTACACCTATATGRCCTCATATTTTCTGATGAGGTAGGTACCTGGTTTACCCACAAATAATCCCACTCATATGGATGGCTAGGAGTGGGTTTATTTATTAATAAACCAACTGGATAATTTCCTATCATTTATTCTATAATTGTTATGGATTTAATCTAGGAATTATGCGAATGRACATCATCGACGTTTTATATTTATTTTTAATTCAAATGCAAAAATATTCCTATTTATTATTACTTGTTATTATTAACATRACAAAAATAACATACATTAATAACCAGATTTTAATAGGGTTTTGTTTGGTTATAGTCTAAAATACAACAGCTTCGCCTAATGTTATTACGTCATAAATTCAATTAACACACCTCGAGGCCATTTTTTAAATAAATAACATCTTAAAATGATTAACGGTAGTTTCGCTATATTTGTATTCGTACATATTTTTTATTTGTTGGTTTAATACTTAAATATAAGATGATGTCTACGCGCTTTAATTATGGTACCTATATGTATAGAATATTATAGGCGTGTCTACGGAGGAGGCAGGGTGGACACCGGCCTCTCCAGTGACTTGATTCTTGGCGTATAATCTACCGTGGTTGAAACACAGATTTCTATATACCTAGTTAGTAGGGCTATATAATTTCCATACAAAAATAAAAAGTCACAAATATAGATTATAAAATACAGATCGTTGTAGTAAGAAAAAAATTTAAATTTTATAAATTACCTCCCCAGCCATGAAGACCTGGAACACGCCTATGTAGAATATAGATTACTATTTGTCATTTTAAGCAAATAATATTATACTATGAAGCATAAGTATAAATTATGTAAAATCTGTGCGTAATATAATACCACATTACATAATAAAGTATGAAAAACTAAAATACTTTGAAATTAAATTATACATTTTTTCTCACAAAATGTAATTCAAAAACACATCACAACGAAATGTTCCATTTTCTTGTCATCGCTGGGGAGTTAAATAAAAGTATTAAATAAATACACAATATGTTTCATATACATATTATGCTATATTTTAATATGTATTAACAGTGTAATATTATATATTGTACCAGTTATATTATTATTGTTGCATACATATAGGACCAATAGAAGGGGATTTGGTGGCTAAGCCCCTCAAAAATATAAATTGTTCCCCAAAAAAATTTCACCGTGTTTTTGAGCTTATTCAATATTATAATAATATGAATAAYCATCTCTCTCCTCCCCCTGACTAATCTCTAACAATATTTTCACCTATGGTTGCCTATGAATAAGATACAACTATTCATTGCTTCATTATACTAATTATAGTCGAAGTTTACTGTGAAGTATAATAATTAATATTTTGTTAGCTTAGATATGACTAAATTTTTGTAAATCCGTCTTATGTATAAGTGTATGCGAAATATATTTTTATTCAAAACTTAAGTTAAATGTTAAATAAAAAAATAAYATATTAACCATAATTATTTTAAAACTTTTTATTAAAACTATACGTCATATGACTATGTACAAATTAAAATATTGTAAACATTCACATAGATAACTTATTTTTAGATTAAACTGAAAGCAGGAATTAATATCAATTTACAAAACATTGCACCAAAGTRGATAATAATTTCACATTTAATAAACATATATTTAACATCCAATAAAATTAAAATTTTGTATTATAATATATATTATATAATTCATCTAAATGCAACAGCATAATTAATACATTAATTGTTATTTATATTTTTAAATACTCGTAATAGGCTTCTTCGTCATACACAACAGTGGCGAGAGGTCACATTATATTATTTATGACATAGGTATGATGTTATAAACTTATAAAATATTAAATTTACTCGTATAATACTCGTATAATCATTACTGTTGAGCGACGTTAAATAATTTCGACGTTTTATTAATTGCCATTATAGGTACTAACGTAAATTATATTCACAACACATTTYTTRAGAAATTGCCTACTAGGTGTGCTTCACACWTTAATTTCATGGTAGTTACTTAAATCTAATCCAAAACCTTTTTTTCTATATGCTTAAAAACAAGTCAAACATATATTTTAACATTGAATAAAAATAAATTTCAACCATAAAACTTACTTAAAATATAATAAAAACGTTAAAAAAAAATTAGGTAACAAATTGCGGTATAAGTGCAAAACTTTCTATATTTGTCAGTGGCAAAGTTTTGGGGGTACGTAGAGGGTCAGGTGTAAGACCTGAAATTTTATACTGTATACGCAAGCTTTTTGAGCTTCCGCCTCCCAATATTTTGTCAGCAGAACATAGTGGACATTATGTGCCTACGCCTTGCGTTGTTTATACATTTTAAATTATAAGTGGATAATATTTTGTTTYGAATAATCTGTTGACTGTTGTATATTTGGGTATAAAAAATACGGTTTGAGTTAATACTCAAGACTGATATCATGATATCAACACTAATAATAATTAGTTTATACAACATTAAATAATTGATTTAATTAGTTTCATTATTTTATTTTTTAATTTATCGCAGATCAAATTGGAGGGTATAGAAGTATTCATTACCCCACATTTTAAATTATTAATTATTAAGTAAATATTCATGATTAGGTATTGATATAGCGTAAATGAATAATTGTCATTGTTTWTGGGTAATACATCTCAAAATGTGTGTGAAGTAACTTAAAACAATTATTTGTGAAGCTCTCAATTCAWTCCCCAATTATTTGATTATTTAATAATAATATAGGGTTGATTTTAACTATACACATTTTTTTAATAGTTTATAATTGATATTTAATAATACCAGAAATTCGATACCTCAATTTCTGCGATGAAATAAAATAAATTAACTTTTATTAGATTTTATTATATTTTTCAAATATATTCCGTCAATATATTATTTAGGATAAATAACTAATTTTGTAATTGAATTTATGAAGACATATAAGTGTTTTACCCAAAATGCGAATATACATCACATAATTATTTGAAAATCAGTCAAATATTTGCTTTAAGAGATCAAGGAAATTCTTGAAATACTAGCATCAACATAAAATAAAAATAAAAATGCACTCATAAAATTTTTTCGACATCTTTTCTGATTACATTCTAAACATTTATCATTGAGTGAAAAGTTGTTTAGTTGTTTTACTAAATATACTATACTGRAAAGGTAGGCTAGAATAATTTAAATATAAAAACACATACAAACTTCTACTATTATTGTTTTTATTCAAAAGGTCCATATTATATTGCATTGTAATATAATATATTTTATTTGTAAATAGGCATTTAAAATTATTATTTTTATATTCTACACAAGAACATCAAAATAATATTTAAAAAATTTGTTTATAATACGTACTGTTAAGTTTTTAAAGATATGCAGGTTATTTAAAATAGAGCAATTCTGAATTGAAAATTCACACATCTAACACAAAATAAACTTATTATATACTTTTGTAACAAATCAAAACCAATTATTGGTTTAAAATTTAAATACATTTATAAACTCAATACAATTTAATTAGAAGTTTTGTATTAGGTAATTGCATTGATCAATTACAGTAAAAGTAAGACTCAAACAATAGGATTGTAGGATCGTTACATAACAATAATAATTATTGTTATAATATATGAAATATGTATAGTATAGTATATATATTATATATAGTTGTTGGGAGTTATTTATTTTTATTTTTKGTAGGAGCATCTAGGTTTCACGCTTATATAACGTGATAATAGATAATAATATTATCACAATGGGTATTACGAGTTTTCCGTAAGTCTAAAGTGGGCGGAAGTGGTGTCTGTTTATTGCACGCCATTCCAAAGTACGATTTGTTTATGCATTTTAAGGAATAAGTAGCAGTGRAATGTCCAATTCTGTAAATCGTATTTATAATCGCATATGGTCTTTAAAAAAAATCGTTTTTTATCAGMTGATTGGGTATACAAGAATGAACGTAATTTTATTCACGCACATTGTACCATATACAGTGTGATTTATTTTAAACAACCACTCGTCATTTCAGAATATACCTCATAGTAAAACATGGCTTTTACAAATTATGTGAACTGCATWACATATATTTTAGTCGATTCGTTTTGGTAGTTGAACGGTTCTCTATATCCTCTCTCCGAATCAAGTTTGTCGTTTGTTAATGTTAGCCGATACACGTTATAAATAAATGCAATTAAATCGATTTTTTTTTGTATTGAATTACGAGTGGCGTGTCAAATAAATTTAAAAAATCACCCTGTATATTATTTATTCGCATACATTATTACGTATTCAAGACGAATATTTCAAACTTACGTCTCGTTAAAAAAAAAAAACAACAACAACAACAAATACGGTTACATAATAATATAACGTAGGTAATAATAATAATACATAAAGGTCAACGCGGTCCAATAAATATTGTCCGTTTGCCTTATGCAGGTCCGCTGCAACTAATTACGATAATAATTGATATTAAATATTATTATAATATATTTTTGTGTTATGTGTATTTAATTCGGCGGTACGTCACCGCGCTGCAGGCGATTCGCAAACAGTAGTTGATAATATTATGCGGTGCGATGCAGATGATGACGATTGATGGCGGCTGCGGTGGCGGCCACCGTTGCAGTAGTTGCAGTGTCGTGTTGGACGTAAATAAYACTCTTCGGGCCAGTGGCGGTGGCGGTGGCACACGGCCATCGACCATGATTCGGATCGAGTGTACGACTGCAGCACGAGTGCTTGACCGATGACTTGCGCAGTGGCGGGTTACTTGCCGGACGCGGCCCCGATATTCTGTCGTCATGATGAACGGTTGGCGGTCCGTCGCCGCTTGCCGGTCAGCTGCAACCGCCACTCCAACCAGCCGTACAGCACCACGGCCACCACTAGCGCGACAGACAGGCAGTACAGTTTTGTGGTGTTGCACACGGCGCTGTGCAATCCGAACGCCAGCGCCATGCCCAGGTACCGAAAGAAGTATCCGTGCGCCATCGGCCCGTGCCAGTAGTCTGGATACAACGATATCACAAAGTCTGAAACGAAATAATTGATGTCATAATTAATCATAATATTATATATAGACTTTATTCGATTTAGTTTAATACGACAATAGCAATTTATAATGACATCAACAATAGCACGCCCAAAAGTGGTGGATAAATATAAGGTGATCGGCACTGATCACCTCTCTCTCACTTTGGCCAAGTCGATTTTTTTTAATTTTTTTTTTTATTTCATGGCATTGCCAGTGTAATGTTACAAGACATATTAACTATTTGACTAGAAATTTAAACAAAATATAATCATTGTTTTGTTTTGGTTTGTTTAACCAAGTGGTACCTGTAATACATAGGAAGGCCTAATAATAATTACACGAAAAACTACACCACCAATTACCATTAAACCATCACGGTAATATTAAAATAATTAATGATTGTGTAATTATTTTGCATGAACAAAAATGCAATAAAATGTCCAAGGAATTGGTACATTACTTAAATTTAAACCTCAATCAAATCCTATCACAGAAAGATCCAAACACACGTGTGACATGTTCACTTCTATACAGGAGTAATGTCATCATTATATTATATTAAATTTAATGTTGTAGACATAACGGGACTCCATCTGTGTAGATATCAGAGATGTCAACAATCATCAAAATTCAAAGTACATTAAACCTCAATCATATAAATTTTAGTATAAATATTAAAATGATTTCATTCCTAACCTACATGCTACAATATATACAGAGAGATTCATCAAGTTGTCTCCTATTATTCTTAGTATGTACATTTTAATAACTCATACATTGACCATTCGAATTTCGATTTAGATACGTAGGTACAAACAATTTAACTTCACAAAAACCACCGGCTTAATAATTTACAGTAAAAAGAATATATTTCCACAAAATGTTAACAACAGATAATATAAAAATCAATATAATTGAAAATTTGGTCCTTAGTAAATTGAAATAAAATTTCAAAATTCAGAATTTTATTTAATTCATTACTAAAGAAAAAATGGCTTTGCAAATCATTGAAATAATATTAACTCTACGAAAAAATCGTTGAAAAAAATGATCTAAACATTGTATTGCACAGTAAATAAAAAAAATACGGAATTTTATATACTTAGTGCAATAATATAATAGCTATAAATTATAATCTTTGACCAAACATTATACGTATAATATATAAATTCGTCTCATACGATTTAAACCAATATATTTAATCTGTTAGTGTAATAAATAAGATTTAATAAAATTAAAACTACATACAAATAGTACAAATAGACATTTTTTATCAAGTTTTGTGATACAAAATATTTTTGAAATGTAATTTGTATACACGCTATAAAAATATTTGTTCCAGTACTTTTTCTAAAGAAGTTTTATGGTAAAATTTATGAAATTTCAACTTCACAGTACAAGTTTTTTCGTTGACATTTAAATTGTACTTGAACTTTATAAAGCTAATCTCTTTTAAAATTAAATTATGTAAGCGTATTATAGTTTTAATAAATTATACAAAACATATTAAAAAAAATATATTTCTAAATATTTACATGACTACCTATTTAATGTATGTAGGTATATTTTATACCCAGTATAATATACAATGACTCCATAAATAATCAAGTCTCTAGCAACAACAAAAACCCACTAAACCTCTCCCTTCAGCCCCACACTCAAACATGACGGCCATGGTCAAAGCCAATAAGTTCTGAGGCTGACATCATATAGTGATAAGTCGTGAACATAAACTTTTTTGTCTGTATTGTTGTCACACTGTATTATGAAATAGATTTTCACTTCGTATAATAATATTATTTGCATAAGCCAGTAACATTTATTTTTAATTATATTTATACACGTACAAACGAATAAACGATTAAGGAAACGATTATTTTTTTCTTCTCGCTAGATCTTGTCGACTGCGTTCATGCCTTGTGTTTTTATATACTTTTCACAAATTCATTAATTTTAATTCATAGAAACATAGGTATATGTGGGCGCTACCCACTCATTTTTATATTAATTTCACTTGGGTAACTAGTTATTGACAAAAGAAGTTTAATAATTTTTAACACCTTATTAGAGGCTTAGGTAGGTACTTATAACAGAGGTCATCGTTATTATACAATTATAAGTATCCAGATAAGCATATTATGTTTAATATTAGTTTACATATTGAATTATAAGATAATAATATGTTAATTATATAGTTATTATTATTTTTTAAATATAATTGAAAAAGTATGAATTCGATATTTATTTTATAAAACAAAATGTATTAAGGAATTTATTTGTCCTTGAAAGAGTGTATATTATATATTATATTAGTTTTACTGTATAGACTACCAACATCATATTATTTATCAATAAAACTTTAGAAATTAGAAACTGTGGTATCTTTCAACACTATCTCATATTTATTATCTAACAGTTTTTATTGGTTTACTCAAAAATATTTTATGGGTGAGTTTTAAATTTGTGTTAAACCTGCTATACAATAYAATATATTATATATTATATTAACTATTAAAATAGAACGAAACAAAAATAATGGTTCAATATGCGTTTCTACGGTCTCACATCAGCTTAAATCAATACGATACATATTGGCTAACAACTGCAATCAAATTTTAATAGGTCGTGTCATTATAGACTACATGAAGTTATTAAATAATTTGACTGAGCTTTCGTCTATAGGATCAAAGCAAATATTATACTATCAGAATAGGTATTATTAATAATTACCAATACAGTTTTTTGTATTATGATACATAATTATTATTTGGGTTTCTGTTATTAAAAATGAAAGTAATTTAGTGAAAATACAATAATAATTAATGACAGATTTTTTTTTTATTCAAAAAGTGTACCTACACGAAAGTTCTATTCAGCTCCTTGCAAATTACAGTCATTCTATAATTGATATGAATTAGTAGTAGGTACCTATTATGAGTTCTGATAAGTAATAGCCACAAAGTGTTATGTTTTATATTTTAAAGTATCAAATTTGTGAATAATATAATTAATATTGAGTGGTCCTTAAAAAAGTTCCTCTTAGTGGATATTACACAAAGTATCGTATCAAATACAGTTTTAGAAATAAACATCAAATCCAGAAATAAGTCAGCATTGGAATTTTTAATAAGCTTTTTTGATTTAAACAATATTATTACGTATTTTTTACAATACGCTTAAGTGTTGTAAAAGGTTACAGCCAGAAGATTTGGCGGGGAAGCCACCTACTGGTGACTCTCCTGATAATAGTTATTTAATAATAACTATAATKAATATTCAATTCTAAAGAAAGTTAAAGTCACTGAGTGAGATTATATTTATATGACGCGTACTTTTTTGTTCCAATCGATACATTATCACCCTCTTCAAAAAGGTCTCTTGGTAATACAACTGCAATATTATACTAAGTATGCAAACATTTGAGTTTTATCGTATTATATTTTAGAATATATGATGTTAATTTAGTATCTATATAGATTATAGGCACTAAATACTAATAATATTACTATTACTATAATATTATTTAGTACAATATAGTAACTTTTTTTGTGAAAATATATGACGACATCTCTCACGTTTTGTTTTGATAACAATTATTGACGACGATAACAGAATAATGAATTTAATTATAAAATTTTCAGTTGTTTGGTAAGATGATCAATAATATATCGTTATATAATTATTAATAGGTACTTACTAAAACACAGTGTGTTCCAAATGGCATTGCACACACCCCAGGCGGCTGCTATGACGTACAGTAGMGCAGCATCGTCGCCGGACGGTTTCCACTTCATCAGTACCATTAGCAAACACGAATGAAACGCCAACCCAATCACTGGAAAATCACAGTGGTAATAATAATTGTTACGAAATAACATCAACGAGAGCTAACTCGGGTCGGCCACTTTAATACGTTTTAATAACAATATAGTAGCTAGTATATACTTATAGGTATAGTTTATATTATTATTTATTATATATGTATGTAATCGTTATGTACAGTATACCTATTATATGATATCGGCGGATGTGTTGCAGGATTAGACTCACAGTAAAACCGGCTACCAGTTGAAGCACTCCCAAGCTCAGCAGAACTGTGGGCACATTAGACACACCCACTGAACACACGACGTAAAACTGTAATTGCAAAAATATATTATAAATTGTTATTTCATATTATATTATTTATGTTAATCGCACATATAAAAAAAAATCAGTTCATATATTATTATATATAGCCATATAGGTAGTGTATAAAAGTGCCTACATGTATATATATTATAATATTCAGATGTGAACCAACATGATGAATACAAAATTAGTACTATTGTGGAAATAAAATTGTGCAGTCGCATTCAAGTTTAAGATACTATTTTTATCCAAACTAAAGAATGTTACTAACTATTTTGACAGAAACTTTTAAAACATACACTTCAAAGTTCTTCATAAATTATGTAACAATAATCATTACCAATTTAATTTAATGTAATCATGTAAACACTAAAATACTAACAATGTAATCAAAAAAATTGCGTGTACTAATGGCCTAGTTGTTGATGTATATTTCAGATCAATAAAAAAAAAAAAAAATAATCATTACGAAAGGTGATGATTAGGGTGAAATAGTGAAACTGGTTTTTTGTATAAATATTGTATTAGTAGGCATGTATGTTGAATATTGTATGTTATAGTGTAATATGTACCTATATTGTATAAGTATCATTTAAAAGTTGAGAAACTCAATTTTAATAAATATCCATGGAAACTGTATTAACTTTTCATCGTTTAAACTGTTTAAATGGTATTTCACAACTTTTGTAATGCGACGTCTGTTTCAAATAATAAATTACTTTTCAGTATGTTAAATAATGATGTAATGAAAACCCATAGTTTAAAACAAATAACAATTAACGTCTTAATGATTGTTTCAAAATAATTATAATATAAAGTGTTAATTAATATATTGTTATCACAGTAAACATTTTATTTTCATAATAACTTGTTGCAACAGTTCAACATCTTCCTCTACATGGTATTTAATTTATTTTTCTTTCTCAGCCAATTTATAATAAAATAAAATATTATTAATAAATGTTTAAATTCCAATTTTAATTATTACGTTTACAATGTTATTGACTAATTTTTTTTATTATTGAGAATAAGACTTCAACAGCTAGGTCATTAGCCTACGGTTGTAGATACAATATTATTAATGGATACTTTAGTTATGATTGTATGTTACAAACAAAGTTTCAATATTTGAAGGAAACTTAGAATAGTTTTAACCAGAGGAGGTGGCTTGAGCATAAGAGTGCTGATTGGTAGCAAAAGAGGTTTTAGTAGTATTGTTTTTTGGTGAAGGAGTAGGCATGGGAAGATCTCACCTGATTGGAGGAGTAACGTGTTTTATGTAATCAGGGCAACCTTTGTAGTTGTCATTGTGGCTGCCATTGCATAGGACACATCTGGGTGGAGAGTCACGTGGCTTAGTACGGGAACCTGTGACGTGGTTTCCTCCATATTTTACACAACGCGGATCATGATAACAATATTTTCGAATATGACCGTATAGCATGTATAGCACTGTGGAGGGCTTTTTGATGGATGTGGTTTTACAACAATAATTTTTGAGTTGAGCAGAAACTCAATCTTGAATACATCAGAATTGTAGGTAGCTTTGAACATCAACAAAGAAAAGTGGCAAAGGCGTAATTTGTCCGAAAATCGCTTAATGTTGTTATATTGGTGACGCAGTGGCCCAATTCTGAAAGGCCGGCGATGATGTCTTCGAGTGCAGTAGTTGGGTGGAGATTTCCAATAACTACGCGTAGTTCGCGCATAGAATCTGGCTGATATGAATAATAACTATAATCATTCTCCTCTAAATGCGTTAATAACTGATTGTAATGTTCAACAAAATGAGTGCGGACGATAAGATAGGAGAGCGTGGAGTTACAAATAAAATCTGTAGAATCAAGTTTGGTCAAAAGACTAGAGATGAAGGTGGATATGTTACCCTCATTTTTAATGTAAGCAGGCGGCGGTACCTTTATTTTGTCATCGCTGTTGTGGATTTGGACGTCGATTATAGATGTGTTCACATCAACGGCGTCGCGCTTAGAGAGAACGGAGAACCTATTTGGACTTGTGAATAATTTGGTTTTCTTAATTTCTTTTCTCCTGCCTTTGGTGAGAGAGAAGAAGCAGAGAGATTTCTTTTGCTTGTAATTTGTAAGAAACCACACTAGGTTGAGGTGACATAATAACTTGATTATTATTATAGACGAAGCAGTGAAGGAGGGTTACGATTAGATAAAGATAGCAGCGAGCATACTGCTAATGAATAGATGTGAGCACATTACAACATTCGGAACCGAACTGGTTTGATCATTTAAATATATGAATTCGTCATAATTATAACATMAAACACTTAAAAATAAAATGACTTAATTTTCGTTATTTTTAAATCCCTTTACAAAGAACTTATGAGAAACTTTTTTAGGAAATTTTCAAACATTTTTTCCCAGCAATCTTTAATATAAAAATAAAACGTCATCGTCCACAGCACGTGAGCAATGAATTATTATAAGTCTTTGACGTTTTGAATGCACTTATTTCGGAACACTGTCCACAATCCACCCTCATTCTGACGCATACACGAAACGTGGCTCCATACTTGATTAAGTAATATATATTATTTTAAACAGACTGTCGGTAACTCACACCGACGCGTATAATCATTGTGTGCTGCATATACCTATTTGTACGCGGTTAACAGCTGTATCATTATCGCTAACATTGTTCAATTAATTCTGCCCGTATCGTGCAATAGTCTAACTCACGCAGGGTTGTAGGCTGTAGCGACCCCTATAACGCAAGGTTTTGATTCGTTGAAATAACAAAACCAATAGACGGTCGTTACAGTATTCGATCTTGAAATTATGAAGCTTTAAGGCTTTGGTTTCGATTAATATAAAACTATACTATTTGTACTGCGAACATTTTTACCTCCATCGATGTACCCGATTCAACATTTTTGAGTTTAAAAAAATATGTCTGATACTATGAATTTATTTTTTGTACATGTTTAATGTTTATTTTTGTAATATACAAAAAAAATCGTGAATTGGTATTTTGTTAGGACGATTTTTCCTAAATTATTGAAACAATAATTTACTATTTACCTAGTTCGTAACGAGAAATAACTGAAGTATAATTTGTTGCTTTGAATATAGTATAATAGTATAATAATATATAATACTGCTAAAGACATAAAGTTCATCCATCATTGTAATGGTGAAATAAAAAGTTTTAATGACATCTTGTTGTTTTTGAAAAGGTTTAAAATCAAAGGATTCACTTTTAGTGATAATCGGAAAAAGTTCGAGATGCATATTACAGCATATATGATATATAGCCGTACTTGAGCCGTATAATCCAATATTATACTAAGTCCATTAAATAAAGTTAAGTAAACATTAAGATAATGCTAAGCTAAGTTAATACAATTTGTATAACTAAAATTAATATATTTGTAGTTTGTGTAGATCAGTGGTTCCCAACCAATGGTCCGCAGACCACCGGTGGTCTGCGAGACCTCGTGAGGTGTTCCGCGAGCCATACCTACAAAATTTAAAAAAATTTCCTTGGGGGCGTAATACAAAATTTGTAACTGTTTTTTCTGGACTTCCAACGAAGCAGGCAATAGCTCATTCTTGTTGCATATAACGTCTAATACGTAAAAGTGAGGCAGTCGAAATTTTATGTAATTATTATAAATTTTGTATATTCTTGTTAAAAAAAAAGGTCTTCCTAGTTTTCTTAAGATTGTGGTGGTCCGTGGCATATAAAATATAGTCGAAGTGATCCGTGGTGGTAAAAAGGTTGGGAACCACTGGTGTAGATACAGTATTAATTTAGTGTATTGTTTTTCAATTTAACAGGAAAAAGCGAAGTTATTATACAATAGATTGTTTTATTATGGTTAAGTTATTAGAAAATCTATCTAAGTTAAAATATTTAAAAAAAAATTAACATATTTATGAATAATGTAATTAATAATTAATATTGAAAAATAAGTACAATTTTATTTTAGTTTAATATTAAAAATGTTTAATAAACGGTATTAGCAATACCTATAGAGCAGTTTAACTAAATCTKTATGGCCTTGGCAACAACTGAAGAGGTTCCCGTTCTTTACCAACTTGTGTAAACCAGACCAATCTTGATAATTTCACATCATACTTTGAGTAATCATGACAATACCTAGAGCTTTTTAGTGCTGAAATAACTCAGTGTAGCCACGAAAACGTTTGAAAAATTTACTGGTCGTTACCAACGTGATATAATCAAAATCTCTAACCAATTTTTATGAATTGATAGGTATGAAAAAAAAGATTTAGGATAAAAAGAGAATTCGCTCTGTTGTTTAACCTTTTATAAATACCAACTAAAACCAATTTATCACCAGAAATCTCAATCGAAGTTGATGATCTAATTAGGTTTTCCAGTAAAAGCTATTGCCTTAAATAAAAAATAAATAAATAAAAAATACTCATAATAAAATATAAGTACCTATACAAAATTTTAAAACCAATACATTCACAGTTCTCCACTCAAATTCTGAAAGTAAAAAATTCAAATGTCTATAATTAAATGAAAATAAGCTAACATTTTATAAAATGTAATCAAGCCTCACAAACTAGTCTTCTAAAATATTCGCATAATCCAGTGTCCCTACAACTTTTCGATCTTCCCCCCCCCCAAAAAAAAAAAAAATGTTTATATTTTTAATTATCCAATGTAATGACTAAATTTGTTTATTTTTTTTATACTATCATCCAATTTTAAAACTAAAGCAAATTGTCTGATCAAAGACGTGATAAGTGATGAGTGGTAACAGTTGACAGACATAAAATATAAAAATAATAAAAGTTTTTGTAAAGCCGTCAGTTTCTTCGATATGGACTTATATACTTAAGTTAAAATTTTGTTCGAGTAGGATGACAACTGGATTATGACTAATGAAAATTATAGAATTAATGATCAGCTAGCTTCTTTGCGTTGCAGAGATGAACTTTATTTGTCTGCTAATTTAAAATATTTAACAACTAACTAACTAACTTTAAATTACATATACATTTTAAGGTTATTCGTGATAATTTATCTTTTTTGGCTTTTACTCTCTTTTGTGAGCTATATAATATTAAAAATATATTATGTATGCAAATTATTGTGTGTGGTTACTGTATAATAAGCATAACTAATAACTATATATAGGAGTACTCACCTTGGAAAAATCGGAGTAGATAAATCCTTGTTCAAGTCCGATGAATAACGACAGAGGTGCGATGAGCTGAAGTTTGGTGTTGCGGAACGCATCGCGGACGGCCGCAAACGACCGGGCGCTGTCCGATTTTCGTTTTTCAGACGCGGACGCGTACACGAATAATCGGATGCGGGTCATAAAAGTCGCGGTAACAGCCACGCCAACAAAACAGCATCCGGCGAAGACGCTGGCTAACAGCTGCGTGGTTTTGCCTGTTAACGTGTACAACATACAGCTGATAGTAATTAGTGTCATAATAAGACGCGCAAGTAGATCTCTCTCAAAATGTTATTATACATTCATTTATTTTTTTGCGCATACATATTTGATTCTTCTTTTATTTTTAGATTCAGTGGAGTGATAAATGTTTTGGTTTTAATGTTTTATAATGATGTATGTGATKTATCTTTTTTTAAAGATATTTATAGTAAATTCTCCAAACTTCAACTTTGATGAAAAGTTCTGAAAAAACTCGGACCGCGCGCTCAGAATCGTTTTCACAATTTACATTGTTTTATGATTTATCAATTTATTATTAAATTTAAATTTGTTTTCAATGTTTCTCTATACAATTAAAATAATATAATCATTTTATGAGAATTTAATTTCAAACATATAAAAGGCAGTAAAATTTGAACGAAACATGACTGTTATCGAATCAGTTGAGCAATTTTTTTACGTATTAATATTTATTATTTGTATATTAGATATTTGTTAATTTATTACTATCAATGCTCTTAAGGTATATTTATATATGTTAATAATCTATATATAATATAAAATAAAATGTCCCCGGTTTAATAATTAATATTAATTTTTAAATTCTGAACGAAGTGATGAATGTATTGATTTTACAATGATGTGTGTTTTTTTTTTTTTTATGTTTGTTTTTGTGTCTGTGTACAGCATAACTAGTTGAAATAATGCTTCAATTTCAAACTTTGAGGGTGGTTTCCGGTGTAAAAGTGAATATCCTTGGTGCATTATACAGGTCAAAAGTAAACATTTTCCAGCAGTTTTCAAAAAAATCGAGAAAAACAAAAAAAAATGACAGAAAAACGGGAATTTTTACGCAAAACCAGTTTTCGACCAAAACGATATTTTTATATGGTTGCAATTCAAAAACTAATCACTGTAAATACTTGAAATTTTCACCAAATGTTAATGTTAGTGATATCTATATACAGTTTAATTTTCAAAAATTTTCGACTTTTTTGAGTTATTTATAGACCACTGAAATTTTCAATTTTTTTTTAAGTGTTGGTAAAAAATGTTGGATGACCAAAAAAACTTGAAAATTTAATATAAGGTTCCTTATGAGTTGTTATTATTGTAGCTAAAAAAAAATTAAAAATTGTTAGTCCCAATTTTTTTTATAAGCGTTTATACTTCAAATTTTTACGAAATCTGTCGAAAACGCGAAAATTTGCAAGTAATTTTGAAGTTGAAAATCATAAAATTGTTTGTGTTTATAACTAAAGATTAAAAATACAACACTAAGTTTTCCATAAGTTTTCCTTCAAGTAGCTATAGAGAAAACTTGAAGCATCATTATAGGAAAAATTTTAAGTGCATTTGAATTTTAAATTATTATGAAATAGCGTAACTACGATAACTATTTATCCTCAAACGATTTTAAATATTTGTTATTATTCAAAAAGTATATGTCGTAGATACTTGAAAATTTTACCACTTATTAAGATTGGAATTTTCTTTACACGATTTAATTTTTTAAATATTTTGACTTTTTTGAGATATTTATAGACAACTGAAATTTTCAATTTTTCTGAAATTTTTTTTTTGAAATGTCAATAAATTTTTTTGGCCCTATCAAAATACTTGAAAATTTAATACAAAGTTTCTCATAAGTTATTCTTATAGTGATTAAAAAATTATAAGAATACATAGGTACAATTTTAATTTTTACAAGCATTAAGCGTTTAGAGTTCAAATTTTCACGAAATCTGTCGAAAACGCGAAAATTTGCAAGTAAATTTAAGAACTAACCATGCCTTTTTCAAAATGCGTCCTAATTGAAAAATAAAATATTTGTTTCAAAATAGAATATATGACAATATTTAAATATAATATTTCTTAGAGACCTAGACCGACAAATCATCTCCATTCAGAATCGTTTTTCGTATACAATGATACCTATCGGCTATCATTGCATTCAAATCTAAGCTACCCTAGTCAGAGGTCCACCCCACCAACTAATGTACAGCAGAGCGACATCCACTTACCCGCTTTTTTTTGTTTAAATCGTTTAGTAAAATTAATAAAAACCTTACATTATTTCATAATAATACCATATTATTCAGTATGAAAAACAAATGATGATATTCAGTAGGTAATAGATATTCCTGTTCGATGAAACACGAGATACCTACGATAAATACATTTGATTATTAACTTTGTTCAAAAAAAACGATTTCGTCATTTTTTTATTGGTTTCTTTATTTATTTCTTAATTCTAATCTCTACATTTTTTTAAAATTTGAAATAAATTACAATTTACCAAACATAAGGATTCCAACTTTACCTATACCCCACTAGCAAAAAATATACACTCATCACAACTTCTGATTGTTGTTCATCAAAATAAAAATACATATTAAATTATAAAAATAATATCTGAGAGAAAAACTTAGTACCTACTTCAACATGAAAAATGCGAAGACGTTCAAATTACAGGGGGATACAGCTTGATAGTACTTTAGACTTGTAATATACGAGGTTGGTACACTTAACCTAACGATAATAATTATTTGACACTTTTGTGTTATGTATGTGAACTGCCTGCAGTAGTCTGTTACAAAAATTGTTACTGTAGCTAATGTACAATTGTCAACTGTATTATGTAATAAAGTATAAATTAATTATTAACATAAAGATGGTTAATTTATTATTATCTAAATACACATCTATTGTCTTACAGGCATTGTAAGACTTTTAGAGGCTCGCCTMGACATAGAGTACTGTTAAATTGTCGAATTAAATTTTAAATCAATGATAAATATGTATTTCAATATGAGTATAAGTGATGAATTTTCAAACGAAATGAACTACTGACGAAAATATCACAAAAGATAACATCGAATTGTTAAGATTATTGTCGGCAAATAAACAAATCGTAGAAAATATGTAATAGATACTTACGGAAAAACAGTATATTATGCATCTATTAACATTAAGTAATAAGGAATAGCCACAAAAGTAAAGATAGAATAATATGGTTGACGTGAAAATAGAGTTGCACGATATATATATATATATATATATATGAACAATGCATGAATAATGAAATTATAATAGAAGATCAATGATAGTATATAATACATAGATCGTGTTCACACTGTTCGCAGGATATTTAGATCACCTATATGTGCGGTACGAAATGTTGAAAACGTGATGTACGACATCAAAAAGTGTGTGATAACTGAATCATAACATTTGGTATTAAATACACATTTTTATTATTATCAATGATTAAAACATTTTGTTTTTGTTTTAAATTATGGTTGTGAACCCCCCCCCCCCAATATGTATATATTATATTTATATACAATGTGCAGTCAGAACATTTGGATATTTTAGCCTTTGATATACACTCCAAAACTATTTATTACTATTTACTTATAACTATATTGTCTATATTATGACTGCAATATTGAATAAAGATAATATAATATGATTCGTAATCAAAACTTTAAGTCATGCATCTTTACTAACCCACAATGACGCCAGTGATGCGTCGTATTACCATATTTATGTTTCACAGTTTTAATATAAATTCATTATTTTTCGCCTCCAATTTCACACACTTCCGTAAAATATATCATCATACTTACATGGCAAGACCATGTGATTGCGAACGTCAACCAATGCGACCGTCTGATTGGACGAGAAGTTGGCGGTGGGCCCGAGTTTGATTTCCACCGTATTTACCAGCGGGCAGGCCACGCTGCCGCAAGTCCGATCAGTACCGGATCCACCGTCCCTGGCAAACATGGTTCCGAGGATGTCGTCTGTCCGCGTACCACTTATCATGTACGCGACAAACGCGTTTCCGGCGATCAAACCCACATCGTGCGCCACCTGCGTTTCACGGTAGCAATAAGTTGAATTGAATTTTATATTAAAATATATAGGTAGGTAGTAGGTACTATTGCCTATTGGTATCAAATTTAAAATGTAATTATATTAATTCGAGAAAACATAGTTCGCACAGATGTATAATTTTATAGTATAAAATATAATAATACTGTGCAAATATTAACGGCAATGATGTAAATTCAGATATTGTCAACATTTACTAGGCAGTTTCATTAAAAGCTAGACATTTAAGGAAATATTGATAATCTGTAATAATTTATATCATTGACTTAATAAATTAGACGAAATTCTAAATATATAATAATATATTGACAAGTCATTACCAGTATTTCCTGATAGTGTATAACAAATATAATATTACGATAATAGTGATAACGACAATGGTCATATTTATCTCTTATAATAATTTATAGCGATACATTAATATGATAAATGATAATAGGATGACACACCGTCGTTATTCATATGCAATGATTTATCTTTGAATTAAATTTTAATATAGGTACAACCGTTACCTATAGGTACAATATTACAACGAAATATTCGATGAAGAGGAACATACGTACACTCGATTACTATTGTGAAGCAGGATGGTTACTCAGTTACTCCTATTTTAATTTAGTTTTAAAAATTGTATTATTTTTAAGCATATATGAATTAATAGGACTGCCAATTCTTTCTATTCAATAGTATACTGTATACATATAGAAGTAATATAGTATTAAGTCATTTAATTTTGACAAAATTGATCAGAATTTCGGAAATAATATTAAAAGTATTACCGTTATACTATTACAAAGAATAATGGGATTTGGAGTAAAAATAAACTTAGAGCTTAGATGAAAATTAAATTTAATCAAAAAACCATTTTATTATAATGATATGAGATTCACACAGACAGTTGTGTTATTTCCTCTTATTCCCACAGTCCCACGCGTACATTTAACAACCTAACTCAATTAAATTCTAACCGTAACTAAGTAGCGTAGATGAACTTTCAAGGAGGGAGGGGGCTATTTAAATACTATATTACTTTATCAGCTATACAGGCCATAACCGTGATTAAACATCATCAATAAAAAAATCCTAGGGTGAGCCACTAATTCATGACCCTCTCAGTTACGCCGCTGCCATAGGTTAAGTAATTAAAATGTTACTAACTTACTGTATAATCCTCTAAAATATTACTTCGATAAAATTAAAAAGTAATCCCTAAAGGTCATAAATAAGACTTTCTATCTAGATTTGATTTCAGGTCAACGAGTGCAATAATATCAATCCAAATAAATCTATTTTTACAGTACTACGCAGTACGTAATTTTGTCCCACAAAGTGTGTGAAACAAAGATAATAAAACTTTGTGCGTAGTTCGCTCAAATCAAATGAAAAAGTAATAAGAAACCGAGAAGACAGGTTGCTATATTGGGAAAAAAAGTAATCTGATGGGCTATAAATTCAATAAGCGAATAAACTTAAGTCGTAAAATAATAATAAACATCTATGCGGAAAAACGTATACAATTGAAATACTAATATAGTCCGTTTAGTGAAGTATTCTGAATAATTGAACGAATTTCCTTAAACAATTTAAATTAAATTATTATTTTAACTTTAATTTATATTTTGTATATTTTATAAGATATTAATTTTCTTAATGTATGTAAATTATATGTGTAGTAGATAAAAGTGAAAAAAAATTTAAAATATATGTAATCAATTTTTCAAAATACAAAATATAAAAAAAGCGGGAAAGTGGATATCGCTCTGCTGTACAGTAGGTTGCAAGTGGATTACTGCAATGGATGGAATTAAATTTAAATCCCATGATATTATGTCATTGTATACGAAAAACGATTYTGAGCGGAAACGGTTTATCTGTCTAAGATATATTATAGATTATTATTACTTATAAAAATATTTGAATTTACGGTGGACATTTTTTATTTTTTTTTTTCTATAAAGGTACCTAGACAAACTAATAAGGAATATTAAATTAAATTTTCAAATCTTAGAAAAAGAAAATTTTTTATGAATTTCTATCTAATATAATTTTAACATTGTCGTAATTTTTACGTATTTAGTCAAAATTTGAACTTTGAATGCTTATAAAAAAAAAATCGTGCCTATGTATTTTTAATATTTTTCAACTGCTATTTAAACAATATGTTGGAAGCCTAATATTAAATTTTGAAGAGAAAAAAACGACCCTACCATATGTGAAATATGTGGTGTGGACTTCACAGTCAAACATAATATCATCATCGAATGCCAAAAATACGATGACACGAGGAAAAAACACCATATATCACAACAAATCGGAGAAGCGCTTGGACTGGACCACAAATCAATCATGAACATCCTACAATTTATAAAAGAAATTCAGCTATATAACCTAATTTAAGCCATACCATAACATAAGTAAACCACCTTTGTAAACTAATTTAAGTTAATGTCAAACTAATGGTCATAGGAGCCGATGTTTTTTAGATCAATAAAAAAAAAATTGAAGCTTTTTGGCCCAACCATTAAAATTTCATTGACATTGATAAAAAAAAAAAACTAAAAAAGTTGAAATTTGAATTTCTGGTGGACATTTTTTTTTTGTGATAAAGATTGACAAACTTGTAAGGAATCTTGTATTAAATTTTCAAATCTTAGATTTAAAAAGAAATTTTTTTATGAGTTTCTAGCTTAAAATAATTTGCGAATTTTTGTGATTTTTACGTATTTTGTCAAAATTCAAACTTTGAATGATTATAAAAAAAATGTTGACTGTGTATTTCTATTATTTTTCAACTGTTATTGTAACAATATGTTAAGAGCTCTGTATTAAATTTTCAAACTATTCTTCCTAACAAATACATTTTTATCGATATTAATTTATAGAAACTAATAATAATCGAAAATTGCATTTTATAATGCAATAATTCATATTGCATGGTGGATAAAATATACTTATTATACTATATAAACATCCAGTGAAAATATCATGTATCTATATGGTCATTTGTTTTAAAGCTACACCAAAAACTAAAATTGATTTTGTCAAAAACTGATTGTGCGTAAAAATTCCYGTTTTTTCCTTAATTTTTAGTTTGTTTATCCCAATTATTAAGAAAAATATTGGGATTTTTTTTTTACCCCCCAAAGTACCAACTAGATTCACTTTCTGATCGAACGAAGTACTAAAGTCGACTAAATTTAACACCTACAATATAATAATTAAGTAATCACTCATTACTTCGTGTAAATTAATCTTGTTGTAATATTTTTTCCTTTATTCAACACATCCAGCATATTTTTAATTAATCATCTTCTGTATTAAACTTCATTKCGATAAACTGTAAAGAATTCGAAATCCATAGACCATAATATATTAAAAACTCTATTTATATCTTTAGTCAAATCTAAACTTGGATATACCTAATTCAGTGGTTTAGTCTTCTTACTTAAATACGCAAATACAATGCATTAATAATTTTCAAAATCGGTTTCTTCATCTCATGCCTTTTAAATGTAATATTATACGTATACCAAGTTCGCATTATCAATCATTTCTATAAAACATTTAATATCTTGAATCCAACGCAAATAATGAACAAATTGATTGTTTTTAATTTTAATTTAAAATCAGATGATTCTTCCAATATTTATGTAAGAAACTTTTTGTATTTTGTACTTTATGTATTAAACTTATAGACTATAATTTTTAATTTTATTATAATGATTTCGGAATGTAGAAGTTAGTTTTTCCAAATGTTTATTTATACAATATTTCTGTATACTAAATTATTATTATTATTAATAATAATAATAATGTAATTTATAATTTAATCATGTACGGACTATAGTAACAATATGGATTATAAGGTATAACGATAACCAGAAAATTATCAATATACTTTGGATAATTATAGTATACTTGTATAATCTGTTGCATAATAAAATCTTTTAGTGTAAAGTATATTATAAGTCATATCTACTGGTTTACTTAAAATATATTTTCATTTCAAGTTTTAAATTCATCCTTACGTTTTCTATGTTTAGACTTTATATACCTTGAAAGCTTACACTCTAACAATCGAACGTCTTTATTGACATACTGGAATGTAAATCCTAGTTTAATATTTAGAATAATGGTTCATTGCCATTATGTGACAGGAACATCTTTTAACCATTTTATAAATGACGTAAAATTTAAATTTAAATACTAATATATAAAGGTGAGTAAAGAATCATGTTGTGTAAACCCATTAATATTTTAAGGTAGTTCGTCCAAAAAGTGAATCAACAGGTAGGTCACACACTACCAGCGTGACATACACAACAGTTATGCAGTTATAAGAGGTTATGAGCATCTCACCTGAAGTCCCCTGGCCAGATTCCTGGCCACTGCTTCTCGCCGACCATTGCCCTCGAGTTCGCACTCCTCTCGGTCGGACAGCACGTATGCCATTTTAGAAGCAAGCGCCATGAGCACAGCTGTCCGAGACGCCGTCCAGCACCCCAACCAGGCACCCATCAGAAAGTAACCGGGCACCAGTACCACCACCTTTGGGTATAGGTGTACGGTGACAAACGCAACGGATACCAAGTAACCGGCCACCAGACATGTCCTGGTGCCAAGCCGGTGGACGGCCGTCGGACCAAACAGTGCGCTCATCGCAGCCAAACTAAACATTGCAGACAGCAGGACAGAACCAATGTCCGTGGTGACTGTGGTGAACCCACCATTCTGCTTCAAATTGTCCGGCCACCACCAAGCGGAAATAGAACCCTAAAATATTTTTAAATATCAGTATCAAGTATATCATACACCACGGAATACAGTTTTGTAAGTAGCGTCTGTTAAGTAGGTAGTCTCGGTTATGAAATTAAATTTATCTAAGCCTTAGATTCTAATAACGTGAAATACAAAAAGTCATTATGAATAAGTACGTAAATACAACAAACTTAATTGACAATTGCAGATAAGTACCTACACAAATATTGCTATATTTTATTTGAGGTATTGAGGAGCTGATGAGCTGTTACAATAACGTAGAGAACAAAAATGGCATGACAATAACCAACACAATGTTAGTATGTTGATAGTAAAACAAAAATTAAAATTATCCTTATAAAATATGACGCGAGATAAGACGATAAGACGAGATCGTTATCCATTTAAATATTACGGTATCAAGATATCTTATTTTAAAACATTAAAAAGGAAAGTATTTAATAATATTTCTACAGAATATATTTTAAACGGATTTTCAAAAAGGCCGTAGGTTCTACTTTTTTAATTTTAATTTTTATTAGAGAGTATACAATCTATACACAAATGCATGTTACAATATATTAGAGAAACATGAATAAGGAAAGAAACCATCCAGTGATCGCACTTCCTTTTGCTTAAATATAATTTGATATATATATATTTTTATTTAATTAATTATTATTGTTTTTTTTTTCGTTAATCCTTAAGAAGATCTCTACACCAATTTCTTTTTAGCTGCATTGGGGGATTTCCAGGAATCGTACGAGTGGCTAGCCCAGATATTATTTTTTTTTTTTTAATACAAATAAACATATATCAAAATTTGATTGTTTTATTCACTTTGTTGTGAATGGTCTTATGGCGTGATGATCCCTATACATATTCGTATACCTCACATCTGGACAGGCCTGAGTAATAGTAATAATGTATGATACATTTTGTATCTATAAAATATGATATGAAAATCTGGTAAGATTTACAAAAAGAAAATGTTAGAAGAGAATTTCCACGATTCTATTTGGGATTACATTTTTTCATTCCCCCCTCAGCATTAAAACAATTTAAATTGCACCAATCAACAGTACAATAGAAGAACCTTACCGAAATAAACACACACTGATATGCGCATGTTGTTTTCGTGATGGCATTGTGTGACAGTGTTATTATACCTAGTATCTGCTTCAATAAATTATTATATACGATAACAATATAAATTGAGTTCCGATGTTATTACCATAAATCATAACATGAACACGCGCCATCGACACGTAAAAGCTCGATTTATTGAGTAATATTATACCTATGTTATATGTATTTATATATATATATAAGCAAATACAATAATACAATATATATGATAATATTGCGTATAATAATTACTATCCGCACCACAACGGTGCTATATTAAAACGCGGGTCGCTGGCACAACGTCGAAGTTTATAATAATAAGGCCGAACGTTGCATAATCAAACGTGACTGTTCTTACATATTAGGTGATAAATATTGTTGTTAACGAAACCACCGATATTAACTATGTTATTGTTCAATGTGTACCATTACAGTTTTAGAAGATACCTTAAGGCATTAGTAACATTATTATAAATATTATTATATAAAATATTGTTATGAACGATCTACGTTAGATATGTTTAATATATGTCATTACATAAATACATATTATCCCGAAATTATGATTTTAAATTATTAAATTTTGTTTTGCAGACATCGAAACACAATAGCTACATTCTTTCTTGACACATAATAATAAATTAATATACCTAAATATTACGTTTAATATAAAAATCAATAGTATATAGGTGCTCTCCACCATAGTCTAGAGTTGAAACGCCATAGTTCATCATTTATTTAAATTATAAAATGTTTTTGCCTATATTTGCAGCTTCAGAGTCATCGTCTGATGCGTTTTTACTGTTAAATGGGACTCAGCAATCAAGTTTTATAATTTCACTATCGTGTTCAGAAAAGAAGTAAAATTATATTTTTATAATCAGTAAAATTCTTMAACTGAGTGGCAAATTTAATTTTTCAGAGGCTTTAATTAATATGAATTTTTTAGTATAAGTATATTCTTCATAACATAGGAGCTTATGTTGAAAATTAATTAATAGGGCTAAATTGAAGAAAAGTCTAACCAAACAATGAAATGTACCAGCAAGAGATCAAGAGAATATTATAGATGTCCTATTTTCATTTCTAGATTATCTTGTAAATAGTATATCCAAATAATTTTTAAAGCACAAAGATGATATTATTAACATTTTTAAATGCCTCCTTTCAACTGAAAAATATTGATAATCAAGCAGAAAAATCACAGAATTTAAATCTTTTAGAATTTTATAAAAATAATATACCTCAAAATTATTTTAGCTTGAAGTAGTATTTATTAAAATCCAAAGTGCAAAAAGTAATATTCAAATATAATTATACAATTATTTCGTAATTGCATAAAATCTCGTACTTTTACACCAGTCTCCTGTCGTTTTTTGCACATATTTAAAATAAATATTATTACTATTTAATCGTAATATATAATATATGAATTATTAATTTATTTCACCATTACTTTAAGCCATAATAACGAAGATGATTATATTACTATAAAGTCCTGCAGATCTTAATAGTGTGCAGGAGATATGAGGAATATCGATTCCAAACCCAAAATTCAGTATAATATTGCGTATTCTGATATTTTTTATGAGGTCCTCGATTTATTTAAAGCTGATAAAAATAACATTACGTTACATTAAGTTTGCTAATATGAAATAAATAAATAGATAGTATAATTATTATTCTGCGGGATCACTGCATTCATTTTTTACCTATAGACTCTCCCGGATTCAATATCCTACGCTTATTATTATTGGTTAATAGTAATACATAATAATATCTTGCGAATGCGTTTAAAACATTATTATTATACTACTTACAAATAATATTGATATAATTTAGTCGAGATTTACTTTTTAAGTACAAAACTTCATTTATTCAATATTAGATTCAATTTTAGATCACGGAGTGTTTGTATTATATAAAGATAACACTAAATAAAAAAATTAGGTATACACTTCCATTAAATAATCTTATTTTATACTTAATTGTCATTAGTTTTTAATTAAAATGTAATTTAACCATAATAAGTCTCCATAATCTTAATAAATAGTATCAAAATGTATGTATAATGTTCAAAACATTGCAATTTAATATATATATTATACAGTATAGAAATATTAGTGAATGTCTTATATAAAATTAATAATGACTAATGAATGTAAAATCTTCAACAAAATCAAGATTAATCGCTGTTTTTAAATTTGTAAATATAAGAAGATTAAAATAACAACTTTAGGTAATAAATCATAATATGTACAGATATATGTTAAAAATATAATACACATTCAAGGATTAAAAATCTATGTTTCAATCGTCAATCAATAAATTTATTTAGAAAAATGTCAACAAGGTGATTGAAAAGTAACTTTATATACACACGTATGTAAAAAATTAAATTGCATAAAATAATTTTAACTTCTTTAATAACTTAAAATATTTGTAAAAACTTAAAAATAATTTGTTAGTTTAAATCCAAAACCATTGTATGATCGAATAAAAATGTTCAGAATCATATAGCATTAATAGTTAAAGTTGTATTAAAATAATAAAGAGCTTCAAAATTCATAACGATGATAAAATTTTATATCAAAATATATATATGAAGATTTTATAAATAGGCACGCAAATATAAGTATTTTATATTATTTTATAGTTTTGAAAAAAATACCAAATATCTATAAGACAATAACAATACAATATGATTTCATGGCTCCTGCAGAATATACATTTTCTTATTTTAAGTTGGGGTATTTATTTTATAATTTTATAAAACCATAATGCATTAGATATTTTCAATCTAAATTTTATTCGAAACATAAATTCGTTATCAAACTGAAAGTATTGACAATATTATATAATTAAGATCAAAATATTAAATAGGTACAACCTATTTTAGTTGACAACAGCCAGAAAACCTACAAGACTTTCAGAATTTGTGTAAAGTGAAGAACTTATATACAAATTATGATAACTAATCAATTTTTATTTAATGTTTCATAATAACATTAATAACGCATAACTTCACATCAGAGACACTGGTTGTATATGATACACAGTGCTAAACCAGTAAATTATAAAACATTAAATCTATTATTTAATACATACCTAATTACTTTTTTAAATTATTAAAATACTTAAATAATTGATATTCGTGATTATTTAAAAAAAATAATAGTTTGATTAATACTACATTATACACTGATATATAATAAAGTAATCTACTCTTAAGATTTACGGCGTCATAATATTAGTTCTCAGTTCTTTCAAATATAATACCATTGATCGACTAAGATTAAAATTATATTCACGTTCATCAGTTTCTTAGACTGCAGTTTGCTCAATTTATTGAAAATCATTGAAGATACATGTGTTAATTTAATTTTTTAAGTAGTTTTTTTAGCCTTTTTAATAATGTATATCGAGACTAAAATTTCTGTTTCTGGCACTTTTTTTTTTTTGAACTTTCAATACTACTGAAACTATCAAGTAGGTGAGAGAAGTGGTCATTTATTTCTTCAGTTTTTTCTTTAAATCATTGTTACTTATCAAGTGATCAGGATTGCGAAAATTCTACTCATAGTTTATACATTGCTGAAACATTTTTATTTGAGACTATTGCAACTTTTCAGTATTATAAATGTATACTAATAATGTAAAACGGTTAAAAACAAAATTAGATTTGTAGATTTGTAACGATATTAAAATCTAGGAATATATTTAATTGTATAAGACCCTTTCTGACTACAAAAATCATAACAATTAAAATTATCGGATCGTACATATATCACTATTTGTGTGTTTGTTTTTTTTTTGTTTGAAGCCACAGTACGTATCAAACTGTCGAGAGACTTTCAAGCGAATCAAAAACATCCTATAAATATATACAGGATCCTTCAAATTTTTTTTCTTTTTATTAAATAAAACAAAAAACATTGTTATATCTACTACCTTTAAGCAGAGCTTGAGTTGGTAGTAGAGAGTTACATGTTACAACTTAGATTATATACATATATTAATTACTAATTACAGCAGAAAATTGATTAAATCGACATTCGACATTTAATTAAACATAATAGAGGAAGTACAAAAATAATGAAATTAATAACATACTCTATACATACATAATATTTAGACATTCCTTAAAAGCTAGAGATTATATTTCTTGTAGAAGCCAATTGTAGATTATTATTTTATGATTAGATTTAGGATTGTATCTTATAGTTTTCTTGATAGCGAAAGGCATTACATTGAAGAAAGTTGGTCCTAAATAGTCAACGAATCTTTGTCCAAAAGTTTTATTAGTGTAATTATTTGAGATGTCATATGTTCTATTACGTTTTGAATATACAATATCATTTATAGGAGTATTTTTAATAAGAAACATGATCGCGAATTTATATAATATAATAAAAATTGTGAGGATCTAGTTAGAAATACATTCTTAGTATGTGTACAAATAATGTGAAATAGATCAAAAACGTTATTGGCATCAATTCAATCACGCTATGATAAATATTTTTTTCTTGCTTTTATTACTTTCATTACAGGGTTATTTACTATAAAAATCAATACTAGCCAGTCAGTCGACAATATTGAAATTCTGAAAAACAGGTCAACAAAGTACTCTATATAAATTCTAAATAATATGAAGGTTTTTGTGAAACCTTACTGCTTATACTTTATAATAGCAGAGGTTTCTGAAAGGAAAAAAGCTATTAGTTTTTACATCCATTTTTTCTATCTACTCTTTAACATCAAAAATACCTATTAAAAGAAAACACTAGTACGTGTTTAGCATTAAGTGCTCTGATTTATACTCGTATTTCGTTTTTAAGGTACATTTTATTTTATTTCGTATAATAATCAATATACTTTTCAGTGCACATGTGATAATAGTTTCTGTTTTTATTTTTATTTACTTGAATTCTAAATATCTACGAGAGAACATTATTGCATTCGATATATTATTATTATCTGATTTCTATAGGTTACAAAATGAAACATATATCAGTATAATAATATAATATTTATAAAACTTAACTTGATCATGTACGATCGGAATATGAAATATATTTTTAAGCGGAATTTACTAGTATATTTTTTATCCATTACGTATTGGATGAAAAAACCAATTAGATATACTCATAGTCCATAGATATAAAAAACACCTAGATAGACGTCTCTTTTTTATCATTGAAGTCGACCGCCATTTACAAAGCAGGCAATGTTTACAAGATAATATTATCAGTTATCACAGTAACAGTAAATTCAATTTATCAACCAAATTATGTAGACTGAAATTTGAATTCAAAATAATTCAAAATATTATATTAATTGTTGCATACCTAACATACTATAACATCCAATTACTTTATTGATTTATAGCAGAGTTTAAAGAATTAATATGGATATTATGCTTAGAGAATGTTGTCTATTATGCATAGGTTTCAAAATGAAAAATAAATAAGTTTTAAAATGTAGTATGTATACATAAGAACGCAACTTTACTCAGTCGGAAACGATTAAGTATATAATAATGTACGAGTATATAAAAGTATTTAATAATACATAATAGTACAAAATGCTATAAAGTGCAAATAGTTTTGAAAAATACGCAAATCATAATAATTTAATATTCATATGGTAATTATATGTATATGTATACTATATACATTATACATATAGTATTGTGTTATCACTATTCTAATGATAAGAATAAATGTAAACATTGTCTACTTTGTAAATAGCGGCCAACTTTAATATCGACTACAATATTGTAGTATTAAGACGACTATCTAGTTGTTGTATATATCTATGCGCATGCCAGACAGGATAAGTATCATATTTAAACATTAACACAATTTATCCGATACATTTCTTTTTTAGTAGAATTGGGTTTAGGTATTGTTATAGAATCTGTGGAAAACAATATAATGAAATCTAATTTAACAACTAATGAGTTTATTATAGGGCATGATGAACACAGTCTTGTCTGATTCACAAAAATACTCATTAGTTTTTATATTTGTCTCTTTTTTTTTTATTCTTTTTCAGTCTACCAACTAGCTATTATATAATAGAACTTGCGTATGCTATAAAAGGGAATCACAGGTAATTAGGTTTATACTATCTAGAGAAAAGGTTCGTATTCTTGAGACTATGGTAAAACTCGATTTCGCAAATTTACGTCTTTGAAAACACAATTACATATACTATTTACATTCAAATAACAAAAGAATCTTTTGCATAAAACTACTAAAAACTTGTATGGGCATAAATAGACTTCAATTTTGTCAAAATCATAAGCAAATTTCATATTTTTTTCCAACCTTAAGAGAAATCATGCAATATTCTAAGGACAAAAATTAATATTTTTTTGCTAAATAATCAATATTTTAACATTGTCATTTAATTAAACTTAAAAAAAATTATTGAAATCACAAATTTAAAAATAGTTATTTATCTATGTAATTATTATTTTACATGTAACCATATAGTTCAAAATAAAATTAATTAGACGTACAGAATTATAAAAATGGTACTATACGCGCACCATAATATGCAAAAATATTCTAAACATTTCCTTTTGATTATGGTTTTTATCGAAAGAAAATTAATTAGGGTTTTGTTTCGTAGGTTTTATTTTGAAAAAATAATTAAAATAATTATTTGTTTTTATTACCATTTCAATTTTAAATACGCACATTAATTACTACATTACTCGTATGACTAAACAGTAAATAAACTGTTCGGATTACAGTTATTCAATAATATTTTCAATACCCAAATATATTTATATCTAATTATAACAATATTCAATCCTAAGATATGGATTTGTACAATTGAAGTTATTCAAAAAGAAAATTATAATTAATGAAACTAGTTAAATTGATTTTTAGACACCTTCATACTATGAAAATAAGTAGATATCAATACATTTATATATAAAATAATAAGAATAAATCTTATAATTAAAAATTATGTTTTTACTTTGTCTATAAATGTACACTCATTTTATACATTTACCAGATAATTAGTACGTATAATCCAGTAATCCAATAACAAAAGCAGTAATATCAGAAATACTCTTTTTACAGTTTATTGTTTATTAAATTGCTACAAATACACAACTTAATAAACATAATTTGAAAATTGGCTATTAATAATTAATCAACAATACAATAACAATTTCAGACAAAATATTATAAAAACAAACATATTATATACATTTATTCAGGTAAGTGGATTGAGCATCGAAAATATATTGAATGTCCTATCATATTTGATACCACTTGGTATTTTTGGATGCTCATTTAAAGTTATTAGTTGTCCAAACCCAAAAGTAAAACCACATCCATGTTAAAACAAAACTTTAATATTATAATGCCATAAATCAATTACAAAGCAATAAAACATTTTACAGTGTAGACCTTCAATGCATATATGTACCTATATCACCTATACAATACGCCGCATCACATAATATTATGTTTAAAAACAACGTGATACCTACGACCAAGTGTACAAAATATTGAAATCTTTTAATTACTCGATGGAAAAGAGCAATGGAAAATTATTTTTATATTAAATAAATAAAATAATAATAATAATAATATTATTATTTATTAACATCGCATTCGAAACATTTTTTGCATGAGGAAATGTGTTTCTCGATAAAAGAAATATAATAAATATTCTTAAATATCTGCACTATAATACAAAAGTGAGTAGGAATTGTGTTCTAGACTTTTTCGCTTATGATATGATACTATGATTGAGACACATTAAATTTGGAAATATAATTGCATGTTAAAAATAATTGAATTTAATCAGTAGTTGTTCAAAAATGCTTCATGAAAACAAAATATAGTAACATATATTATAGTCTATGATGAAATTACTTATACTTTAAGTGACCTAGATAAGTGTTGTGACTCGCGTTTTCTGTCATGCAAGTTAGATATAAAGTACATAATATTATGATGAGTATTGTAGACAATATTCGAGCTTGCATTATAAAACGTTAAATATTTTTTAAGCGTATTTTGTGTTGGTAAATTAATATAATATAACAATATAAGATAGGTACACTGACCTGTAATGCCATGAACGGAACCAATGCAGCAGCTGCCGCGCCGTGTCCAAGGCACAGAGTGACGTAGTTTCGGCACAACAGTCTCCGGCTGTATACTGGACCCATGTTGGATGGAGTCGTTCGGACTACTTCGATGAGACGGCGCACTGACGAGGCTCCAGCTGAGCTTGACAGCGAGTCGCGTCTCTTGCCGCTCGCCGAAGACGCGTTGGCAACGGACACTTGACGGTGCGTGGTGGATAATGTTGACCTGAGTGACGTCGGTGAAAACGGTTTCTGCAGCACATATTATATGATATGCGTGAAAACAATAAAAATAGAAATATATAAGACTCTATTATACACAAGATGTTTGAAGTGGACACCTCGTCCACCTCGGCACATAATATATTTGATAACAGCGGAGGGCCAAAAACTTTAAAAAATGTAATACATTTTAAAAGTAAATTATTCTAATAAATTCCAATAACCACACATATGTTCATAGTGTATAAATATATATAGTAATACAATTTTACATTAAATATTAAAACAATATCTTAAATCTTAATTAATTTAATTATTTTAATGAGCAATCACCCATTTAATATTATTTATTCCCATTTACCAGTATTATGTATACGCTATAATAATTAATCACATCATTTGATTATTATAAATGTATAATATTGCATATTTGAAGGTTTTCTTATGTTTTAATGAATAGAAAAGGGAAAAAATAGTTATTTGGTAATTGAATAATTTTGGTTTGTTGGAAAAAAACATAAACAGATAACTAAAAATCTTATAGACTTTCCCATCTGAAAAGAATATTTCGTTTTAGATGTACATATTTAATCAGCTTGCTAAATATTGTAAATGTTTATTTTTGATAGATTATCTAATTACTTTTTGAAAACTGAAAACTGAAAATGTTCATGCATATTATGGTCAGTATAAAACATATAATATTATGTTACACCGGCAATGATGATTATTTATTTAATAAGTTATTATTATATATTTCCTATAGAAAATGTGTAAAATAAATTGATACTCTACTACTGAGTTAACTAAAATGTATTATTTACTACTGTGTTGATATACTCTATTGATAGTTCTTATAATTATAAACATTAGCCTAAGAAGCATTTAAATGTTTAAAGTTACATAGTAAGCAATGTTAATAGTAAATTTATGAACGTATATTTTCATGCAATTTTTTTATACCTTTATAATTTTCAATTAGATAAAGTCTATATGAGCACGTCTAGCTCAATCTTTGCACACATATTATACTATAAAATTGGTTATTATTAACATTTATAATGTGCCATAAAATACGTTAACAACATTTACGTGTCGTTAACACATAGTGTATCTATTATAGAATAGAAAAGTATCGAATATACCTAATATTTTTTCTATTATTTCTTTTATGACAATTTTTGAGTAAATTTTTACTCTCGTCTGATTTTCGCAAGAATTATTTTGCACAGTACTAACCAATACATTTTAAAGTATTCAATTTTTTCAAATTTTTCAATCCAGTCTTTTAATCATATTTTGCTAAGATTTAGTATGGATTTTAATCGAAATGCGTCAAACATTTAACAATGCAAATATGTCATTTATTAGTAAAATCACAATGTCCATAATGATTTTCTGCGTAAAAAATCTGTTATGTGAASTAAACTTAAGTATTTGTGATATTATTTGAAAATAGTTTAAAATCAAAGGCTGAGTATAATCAAAGTCAAAGTTCCTTTGAGTGGGCCAATACAATAGTCTATACGACTATAATAGATGTTGAAGAGTGATGACATTAAGTTAATAACATCATAAGTGGCTGCTGAAAACAAGCAAAAACTAACCAATGACCAGCGTTTTTAAGTATCCTACAATTATAAGAACAAAATTGAACTTTTCATATGACATATCCACACACATCTCTTTATGGACCTCTGTTTGATTGTCCAGTTGAGTATATACGTATTATCGGTATGATTTTCATCGGACATTATTGATTAATTGAACACTGAGAAAATAAAGTGGCCACATTTCTACAGTTTAAAACAGAGTATGATGACGAAACACTGAAGTAGAATGTATACAGACTACTTGGCACAATATTATTATAATTATCTTATGGACATTTATAAACTTATTCATTTTTATGATTTTTGTAATTTAAAAATTTCGAAAAAATTAATAACAATTAACAAGTAATATTAGGTAAACATTTATAAACGCAAACAAAAATGGTATTAAAATTATTAAATCATCCAATAGAAACTCTCGATAGCAAGAACTGCCCGACATTAACTTTCATTATATAATATTGATCAAGCACGCTTGTCACCTCACTTGTTATCTCATTGGTAATAATAAATTGCTGAAGTATAATTATGAAGATAAATATTTATATAAGCTGTGTAAGTATAAAAATGTTTTATATTATATAGTTTACATTGTATGTAAAAATAATATAATGTATGATGAGTTTTGAAACATATTACGAGATTGCATCCTTGCAAACAAAAATTTTTAAACTATTTACTATCTTTTTCAAAATATATTCTTAATGAAAAGAGATAACTATTTTAAAAGCATTGTGGACTTAGATAGTATCATCGGACCATAGGGATTTCAAAAATGTAAGAGTGCATATCATATGCTAATATTATGAAGTATGTAATTCATTAATTCAACATGCTATAGTAGTTAACTATCTAAAAATAAATTTTGCTAATAATCAGTTTAGTAGTATAAAACAATTAACCCTTTTTTTGCACTTCTTAAAAGCTAAAAATCATTACTGATCATAATTCCTAGTCAATATTTATATTTTTAAAACACTTATTATATTTTTTTTTAGCGTTTTCAAAAATGAATAGAAAATATTCCTAGGTACCTAAAACATACAATTTTATTATTTCGTTGAAAATAATAAATTCATTATTGACAATATGTACCTAATTATCATCATTCCCAGTAACATATTATAGCAGTGACATTTGAATTGAGAGCTTGTACAGAACGTATATAATAGCAAACGCTGTACTATGAAATCACTGGCATATTAGGCATACATTTTATATTTAAATTCGTTTTATCCAAAATTGCGATTATCTAGCGTTATACGCATTCATAGCTCAGTCTAATTAAAAATATAATTGCAGATACTAAGAAGCGTACGGTGTGTTTATACTTCATAATATAATAAACCTATAGAGTATACGATATAAGTATAAATATATTAAAAAATAATTGTTTTTAATATGAGTAGGTACTGACACTTTTTATTTTTATTCCAGATAATTGAATAAAATAAAAAATAAATTAGATTTGAATTCACTAAATGGTAATACATATTAAGAATATCGTATTGTCAGMGTGTATACTTTTATAGTTTTATAACATTTGTGTAATCATGAAAACTTCACATAAAATATATAAAACGTTTCAACGTTTCTAGTACCTAATATTTTATATTGCAGTTTTATTTTTCTCATAATTCTTATGTTTATTACATTGTGTAATATATTGTACGGTGTCACTCATAGGTATATCATATCAGTGGCATACACTTGGTAATTTTTCACTGGACGTAAATAAATATAAAATTAAATGAATAAAAATTAAAAACTATTCTTATTTTTTTTTTCATAATATATCTGTTAAAAAACGAAAATTAAAGATACACCAACTGCAATGTGCCGTCGCCACTRAGTTATTATTATAGATATCATATATTTGAAATGTCATTCCATAATATAAAAACGCATTTTATTGTAAAGTTTACTGACTAAAAATAATGAAATAAGTAAGTGAAATTAGTTGGAGATTAATTGAAACGCAAAAATGAGGATCGACAATCGACGAATGTTTATATAGATCTGTATTATACTGCCCATCGGTACCTATAGGACTGTTCAATTATCAAGCTATTGGAATTGGACAACTACATTATTTAAGAAGAGTAAAAACTTATTTGAGAAATACTATAAAATAGGTAAACAGTTTTTTGTCGTATATATTTTGAACCCGTATTAACCCGTAGATATATATTTCATTTTATGCTGGAAAATAATTATTTACACAGGACGGATTAATGGATTTACCAAGTTGTCAGTATATCGGGCTGTCTTTAACTCCTAAAGAGGTCTTTTATGAGTTGGAGCGAAAACCCAGGAAATTAGACATCGTCTTTAAATAATATTTTTTTGATGCATATGTGTAGGTGTAATTTTTTAATTTAGCTCCTCCCACCCTCCCCCCTCTTTTATAATATCTGTGTACGCCACTGTGTCATATATGCGTACACATATTGTATGTGTAAGTACTAGATTTATATTATGTTGGTATCACAGTCTAGTATAATAAACGATATCAAGATTAATACAACAAAACCAGCAATATTTCTATTAAATAATAATAAAATATTAAATAACATTACCGTCTGTTTAATAAATATAATGGTCAGTAATCAGTATACCATAAAATATTTAAGTTTAATTTTTGATTAAAATCTCAAAGCAATATGATAACTAGATTTGAATCTTGAATTCAGTACAAATAATAACTAAAACATTTAAGCGACTAAGCCGACGCTTAGTTATATTATTAATATTTTAAATATTATAAATGCTAAATCTTTTAGTAGATATGAACTGCAGTCAAGTTCAAATGTCAAAGACAATATTAAAATATTATAAGTGACCAACAAGAAAAATATTCAAATCGCAACAAATTAATAGATAGGTAACTCAAATAGTAAATAATAAAGTGTACCTACAAGTGCTACAACTAAACTTAATAGAACAGTTTAAAATGATTGAATAGGTACTTATTGCGATGATGTGGACCTATTCACTTACCATTCAGATTAGTCAAATTTATGACAATTCTTGTATAAGCTAAAAGCTATAACAATAATGACTCGTGTCTAAAATGAATTCTAAAATAGTAATTTTTCGAAATTGTATTTAATTAGAAATGTCAAGTCATAATATTTTAATTACGTATTAATTTATTATAAAAGTAATTTAATAAGTCTATGTTTATTTAAATATAAAATATTACGATTTCAAAATTGTAAATATAAAAAAAAAAATCAAAAGATATATTTTCATTACGTCAGTTTTTGTACACTTGAAACTCGTATACTGATACATTGCTTACTGCTACTTCAAGCTCATATATTAATTATTATGTTTACTGAGGCTTAAGGATACATACGTTAACCACGTAGGTTAGCCTTAAGTTTAGATGACCAATTGTCAGGAAAACTTTATAAATAAAAAATATTAAAAAAACCACGTAGGTAACATAAGTTGACATAATAATGATTTTTATCAAATAACTTTCGCACTATATTAATTGATATTATGTAATTTATATTATTATACAACTGATCACTAATTCATGCCTGCTAATAGTAAAACTATTTACTTAGTCGTGGATCGAGGAATATATCAAGGATATAATTGTATATTATACTGTATTAAATATATAACACAATATAATAATATAGAGTGTCTTTCGATTTCAGTCTCTAAATTATTATACAATCACTTCACTGTTCCCAAGAACCATTAGCTATCAGCTAAGCTTATATTATTAAAAGTACTTATATTATTTGCGTCGTTGTTGTGGTGATAATGTGAAATATTTAAGTGTCGTCAAATGATCATTTTATCTTGACATGATGTTTATATCCAGATGGAACAGCCACGGTAGGTTTTAATAACTGCTACATTCCATAACTATTGGTACTTTTGACTGAGCTAAGCAACATAAATGACTTTGAAACTTTGAGCTTCCAGTGAATTAAATCGTAAATCAAAACTGGAAAAACGTACCTACCTATTCATATTACAGTAGAAAAACAGTTTGTTGTATTGATTTGGTATGATATTTGTATATTTAATCACGATACTAAGTAGTTACTCAAAAAAGATTATTTAAAATAAAAAAAAATAAAAATAATAATAATAAATATCATAAAAGAATTGAAAATTGTTGAAAACATACAGGCTACATAACTTTTTAAATGACAATTATATTACTTGGAGTATACGACGTCAATCATCAATGGATAGAAAATTTAATATTTTGATAGCATTACAGAACATAGTGCTTTCAAGTTTAATTTGCATTAATATGTAGATTATCCAAATCCTTTGAAGAAAATTCACAACTACGCGTTTACGCAAAAGCAAAATACATAATTTATTTAAAAAATGGTCAGGTAGTCAGCAGTAAGTCTTATATATTTTTTTTATTGGGGGTATTGAGGCTTCGATAACAAGGGTCGAACCTGAGAATTAACTACTTTCTCTAATAGCTATTCGTTGATTAATAACGATATTAATTTGTTTTCAATCATAATAATATAATAGTTTTTACACCAAGCTGTAGTAAAAAAACTGTTCGTAAACTTAAATCATTAAAATAATTGAATACTCATATTTTATCATACATTTAATAATTTAAGATAAAAATAAGAATTATGTTATACAAATTATCGCTGAAATAATTTCAGTCGTTATCTTTTATGAACACATTTAAAACAAATAGTTACATTAATAATATTATAAATTACAATTTAAATAAAAAAATTATAGCTATGGAATGAACAATGAATATTGTAAAAACTTATATGACCCACGCACGGTTAGGTTTTACCTACCAATAAACAAAAATAATAATATTACACGTTTTATTATAAGATCATAATATTTCGTTTCCAATCGAGTTATCATAACAGTTCTGCAAATGAGATTCAATTTCACAAATGGATTTAAAATGTTTATTAAGTGTATAATATGTACGTGAATTATTATGCTTGCTCTAAGGTTTCTAATGTTTGTATAGTGTATACATTAGTCAGTAAAACTATACATTATACAATTTATACTTATTATTATTTATTATTATGTATCTTGTATTCTTGTACATTGTGCATGGTTAAACATAATGACGTGTTAGTGTAAATGTTATAGTAAATATTTATTTTTATTGAACAATATAAACCAAGTTCAGTCAAAATTAATGTTGATAACTCGTACTTTGTACATTATACACCTACTTGTACACTTGTTCATTGTAAAATGAAATTACTTTTAAGGTGAATTCTATGTTTATTTTACAAACATTTGCATAAAATTATAACATTCAACTACAAAATGATAATACAGTTTTTTTACAACCCAACAACAAATTGTTTGAGTTAGAGTTATACACTTTATATTAGGTATATACAATATATATATTATATATACAATACATACCTACTTATATGCTACAGGCAAAACATAAAAATTACCGGCAAAACACTAAATGCCCAGGATAAGTACTTTAAGCCAAAACGTCATGTCGGAAAAATCCAAAGGCTGTAGTATCTACTACTACCCCTGTCATAAATGTAGGTAATTTCATCGCACTGCAGTAATTTTGATTGATATACCCTTACAGAATTATTTTAAAACAAAAGTTTAATCGTTTTCAAAAATTATTTAATAAAATTAATAATTATATTTATTTTAAATAATATCTATACTTAGAATGTGCAATTAATTKTTAAAATCATTTTTAAAACCAATAGGAAAACTCGACATATTAACAATATCTTTCATATTTAGGTATATTTTACATATACTTAAACCGACATTTTTCGGCATAGTTTTCGTATATCATTTCTATCGAGTGCTTATTGACTATAACGATAATCGTTAAAATGTGCCTGTTATCCAATGGTTTATGCTTAAAAATATCTTCAATATAGTATACAGCTCTTCCAAAACTAATACTAATCAACACGTTCATGCATAAATAAAATTAAAAAAATTAAATCTTGAATCGATTAACGTATAAGTACMTATACAACAGAATAAATTAAGTTCTAAAAACGATATTCGATAAGTACACTATTTTTAATCATATATTACCTGTTTATATTTATTAATACTTTTGAGTTAACAAACCATTGTTTTACAAATGATACTTCAAAATTGTAATAGTATTAAATGACATCCGTTGAAATGTAAAGATTCCAAACAAGCTAATTAAATTAATTTCTAACAATTAAAATGGAATAATATACATGATATTTGAATTGGTTAGTAATCCAAGTTTACTGGTAGATATTATAAATTAAAATATAAACGTTATACATTGCTGCTTGAAAAATTTTCTTAATTTTTAATATTGCATCAACAATTAGTCTGTTATCTATATTCGAATGTGTAAAAAAATCCCAAGACTTAAGTTGAACTATTTATAGGCAWATGCAATTTTCGATCATTATTAGTTTTTTTTTAAATTAATATCGATAAAAAAATTTTTTGTTGGGTAGAAAAGCATAAAAATTTAATACAAGGCTCTCGACATGTTGTTACAATAGCAGTTGAAAAATAATAGAAATTCATATATAGTCACAATTTTTTTTAAGCATTCAAAGTTTGAATTTTGATTAAATACGTAAAATCAGAAAAATTTACAAATTATCTTAAGCTAGAAATGTATAATAAATTTTCTTTTTAAATATAAGATTTGAAAATGTTTAATAATCTATAAATATCCTAGGCAGATAAACCGTCTCCGCTCAGAATCGTTTTTCGTATACAATCATATAATATTATTGGATTCAAATAATTTAATTACATCCATTACAGTAACCCACTTGTAACCAACTGACTACTGTACACCAGGGCGACATCGACAACTTACCCACTTTTTTTTTTATTCCAACTTTATATAAATTTTCATGTTTTTCCAGATATTCATTAAAACGATTTTTTTTTCATGTACAACAATCATACACAAATATATTATCACGGTTTAATGGCTACATCTAACTACAGTTGTCTGCGTTATGGCAGCGGACGAAAATCACATGGAAACATTCTATATACTTTCGGTCCGCGCGCACGCTATACATATTTAATATATAACCTATATGTATATATATACATATGTGTGTGTGTGTGCAGCGACAATGATCTAAGGCAATCGTGTGGTACTTTGCGATCATGATCATCATTCACCATGATGTGCACGTGCGTTTAACCATTATCGCAGTGTTATACCAACCTCGTCTACTTGCATGTCGATGACGCCGTAAAAGTTGTTGGTGCACAGACTGTTGGTCTGCTGGAGTCGCCTGTGCTGAGCGCGGCTAGTTCCGCTGCCACCACCGCGGTCTGGGCACGGTGACAGCCTCGGGGCCGCGGGCACGCACACCGGTTGCTGCTGTTGCTGTTTGCACAGCTCGTGCAGGTTGGGCAGCGAGCCCATCGCTGCCGGATATCACTCAGCGGCGGCGGCGGCGATGACGACGACGACAAGGGCCACGGGTTAATCTAATGCGGCGTGTGCGTATTTGGTACAGTGAATCGTGTACTGCGCGCGTGCACACGTATGTCGTACTGCGCGAATGTCGTATATCGCGGCGGCGCCACGCGTATATAAACACACTATAATACGACCGCGGCGGACACTCTTCGCGCCCGCGCGATATCGCGACGTCACGCTCGTATTTGCGCGCAAACGTGTCGCTATAACGACAGCGTAGGTGTGCGCGTTTGTGTGTACGGTAGGTACACACGGCGGCGATATCATAAGCAGCGGCGACCCGGACCGATGATGCGAGCGCATAGCCCGCCCCGTTGCTGGCCTGCTCATGCGTCGATCGATAGACACCGCGACGCGACCTCAGAGAGAGGTCGTCGTCGTTGTCGTTGTCGGTGTCGTCGTCTTCGTCGTCTTCGTCTTCGTATATACGGAGATAACCATCGCGGGTGTCGTTTCGCTACGCTTCGCAGCCTGTTGCGTCCACTATATGTCATCGTAAACAAAACTATTATTGTTGTGATATTGTAATAGGTACTTTTTGAACAGCGCATCCTGTTTGAGGAAGCTGATGAGCGCTTACGATCAAGCGATGCTGCAGCGTCGTTGGTATATTGTACAGCGGGCATTTCTCTATTATTTCTCGTGACTGACAGTTTCCTAGAGACAAGAGAACACACTACATAACATAATTCCAAAAAGTTGTTCGAAGGTCAAATCTTATGCAGCTTAAAGAATTTTAGCTCAAAACCACACCATATAGTATCTAATTATTATATATTTGCTTAATTTGTAGCCACAATTTCAAAATATATACAATCCCCTTCTACCGGCCCATCTATAGTGACGCACCCAGGTGGTGGTGGGGGGGGGGCTTTGAGGCTAGGTTAACGAATTTATACACAACCTTTTTTTTTATCTAATATACACAATGATTACAATTACTAAAGAGAAAACTTACATTCAATTTTCAAGTTTATTGACCTAGTGAAAGATACTTTTTTATGCCTATAAATAATTCAAAAAGAGTAAAAATATTTTGAAAATATTAATAATATTTTTTTTTTTTTATTTAAGTTGAGTTGGTTAGGTTAGGTATTTAATTCCATGGGCAGCGGGTTATTAATTTTTTATAGATTACTAGGTATCTGTATAATATAATTTTTGTAATTCGTAATAATAACGAATAAATAATAGTACGGATGTCAGTGAAGTTAGAAACAGTAATCATGAGATTTAAATAAAACAGACGTTATTATTTTTATACGCCATATATTGCATATATTAATCATTTTAATTATTTGTATATAATAAAATAATTCATCCACATGCGTTGTCACTGTCTTATAAAAATGCATAACTTAGCAATTMGTACGTTCAAAATAAATAAAGAATAATCTATTTAATTCAGGTATATTATGTAATATAAAAGCGAATTGACCCATTATAAAACTTAGAAGTAAGAGTATAATCTAGTACTCTAATGAACTTTATAGGTATTTTTTTGAAGTAAAACTTCTTTCTTGAGGTGTGGGCGGAAAAAAAATTGTAACGAAAAATTAAACGCAACAATTGTTGTTATAGTGACCCTTTGTTGTTTTTATAACAATCTACATATATAGGTAACATATAAAATAATATCATTTTATTAAATAAATATATATATATATATATATATATATATATATATATATTTTATATACATAATTTACACTTTTATAATTTATATTTATAATATTCACTTATAATTTCGCGGACCCCAATACTTAAGAAAGAAGTTTTACTTTTTCAGTGTATAACGGTGGAATCACACACTCGTGCATTTTTTTTTTTATGATTTTAATTTTAAAACAAGTTATGTGTATTTTAAAATACTCAAACGGGGACCTAGTGTGGCGCAATTATGGTCCGGTCAAGCATCATCTATTGTCACTAGTTCCTGGATGGGTGACACCTGACAGCCCAGGTTTTAATGAAAAATCCTCGCTCTACATACACGTGATCCTTAACCAACCATTACCCGCTCACAAAATACTAAGGCCATAATTGCTGATAATTTTAAAATACTATAATACCAATAATTTGTTTTAAAATTGATATAGGTACATATAAAAAAACACAAGAGTTTCACCAAATGCTCTTATAAATTTGATAATAAGTCAATAATTCAGTCCAACATTAATCATAACAGAGTTATATTCGTGTAATTATGAGTAAAATTGAAGTCTGAGATTTTTTTTCTGGGGTCGTTCGAGGGATTTTTTTCGGAGATTTTTATTCCGATGAGCATTGTAAGTTGAATTTTCTAAACTAAAAACTCAAGAGTATAAATTAAAATGTAGGTACCTGATAAAAGTGACATAAATAATAAATATAAAATGTAATGTTTTGTTAAAATTCATCGATCACGTTAGTTAAAAAAGATTTACTACACTACTATAATATGGTTTAGTCATACAAGTTTTGTGACAAAAAATCGTTCTATACGTTATATACAATTTTAATATGATTCAATGATGGCAACTTCATACAATAATAGCATGCGTGATATGCGTTTAACTCCGCAGTGTGTGCTATATATGTGTCGTGAAAAATGTCCGGTACGGATGTCGGACAGCATTACAGTAGTGTAAACAATATTTATTATATACATGATATGCGTACTATTGTTCCAAAAGCTTTGTCAAACAGAACGCGTTAAAGCAGCGCCGTAGATGGCTCGTCGACGTGGTGCTTTCCCGCGCGTGAATAACGCGATATTGTAACTTGTAACAAATTACAAAATCACACCACGTGAAAATAACTCTTTCTGATTGACTGAGCCTTTAAAATAGATACATAAATGTCTATATAATAGTACATTATCCATATTTTATAATTGTATACTATATATAATTGTATATTCTTATATATATATATATATATATATATATAAATGGATTTCTGTCTGTCTGTCGGTCTCAAAATAATTCGAAAAAAATTTCAGGAGCGGGTCCAACATTTTTTAAAATATAGATACTAAACACTTTTCATTTTTACAATTATTTTTTAATACAATTTATAGTTAATTAATTATATTTTCGCTGCTAAAATGTTTCTACTTTAAAAAACTTCGGGGACGGACCCCTGGACCCCCCCACAGTTAAGGCCTTGGTCTGCCTATTTATCCTTTATGCATTCCTAAACGACTGGACCGATTGCGGTTAAATTTAGTACAGAGATATATTAGAACTATGGGCAGAAGATAAGTGAAATTCAAATTGATATGCCCAAATATCATTCTATCAAATATTTGAATTGTCTGACTGTTCTCGATAAAACGAAAAAATTTACATAATAATAAACTAAATTGAATACTGTCGCAAGATTATTACTTAGTATATTTTAACCGTTATCTATCTATATGTGTAAAAGTATGGCTGCATACGAATTGCGTCCCAGGTATTTTCTAGAGTCAATGGTCATACTAATTGCGTCCCAGCATCTCAGTTATTTTTGGAGTTATACTATAGTTGCATCCCGAATTTTTTTGTGCATACCAAATGCACCTCATATATTTTAATAACTAAATAATATTTCCCTTTCCATTTTTATACAGGCTTACCTATAACTGTCTGTAATAATATTTATATAATAATTACTACTATATAGGTAGGTTAAAAATATGGTTTTTGATTTCTATATTATTTATAAATGTAGTAAAAAAAATTGTATAATAATAACGGTTAGTATAGTAACTAAGCGTAAGTAGTAAAAAATATTATTATATTGGTAAAAATTTAAAAGATGACTTTTTTATGAATTCCAATCTACTAATTTTTTTTTTTTTGATTGAAAATCTGCCATTGCTTGTTTTAAAAATTGTTCTTTATTAATTATCAAGATTGTACGGTTCTTTAAGTGAGTGCTCCGTTCTTTTTTTATAAATATCAGTTTGTGACCTTTACAGAATATTTATAAATTGAAAAATATTTGGATGCGCGTTATAAAACATAGCGTTGAGCTTCGAATGAAAAGCTTCACAACTACTAGTAGTTCGTATAGTTGTAGCCGAGTATTCTACCCATAATGGGGACGCAATTCAACCGTTCTCGAGAAAAACCCGGGACGCAATTAATATTATTCCTTTTTATACCTAACTTTTTCTACGGGACGCAATTCGTACGCACTGCAAAGTATACTGCAAGTAAAATCAAAGGAAACAAATTTAACGCACAGTTTGAGACATATAATAGGTAGGATTTTTATAAGGAGCTTCAAAGTGTACAGGTTCAGCTAGTTTTAAATAAATGAATACCACTAATAAGTAATCAATTCAAAAATAGAATACAAAACTAAAAATAAATTCAAATTATCTAAAAATATTTTACATCAATAATTTATAAAATATAACGTTAACAATGATATGAAAAAAACACCTAGAAAACTATAACTTCTCATTAAAATAGTAGAACATATAGAATGTATTTGTATCTTATCTTTTTTTTTAGATTGGCAACAATTAATATTAATATGGATATTAATGGGCTCTATGGTTGTTTATATAATATACCTAACTAAGTTAATTCACAGTTTTAAAAAACTTAGCCAAACCCATTGACTATGAATAACACATTAGTAAACCAGAGTTTAACCAAGTTCTAAGAATTAAACCAAGTTTTATAATATAATATGACATGTGTGATGTGTAGTGTGTAGGTATGACTTGCTGTAGCAAATTTTACTGGTGAACGTTATTTTTCATAAGTTATTAAAAAGGGATAAAAAACTATATGCGATTTATTTACATTGAAAGAGTGTTTTATAAGCAATAACTTCATTTAATATTGAACCATTCAATAACATAATTATAAATGCAAAGGATAGAAAAAATGTCTAATTATTAATTTGTAATACTTGGTATCAGTTGTTATCAGTCTAAGTGTCAAAATGTCTGGTGTGTCTACAAGAAAGTCTTGTGGTATGATTATATCACAGATGACAGATATAATGTGTCTTCCGTGATAATAATATCATGATTCATATTAATATGTAGTTGTGTATATTACAGTAATCTATTCTGTGGTCACATATTCATATCATATTCTGTGTAGTCACCGTGTCTTGTTAGAAATTTAAATGTTTATTTAATATCACAGATTAAAATGATTAAATAAAATTTTATACGTTTTAATTAATCTGTCATATTTTATTTAATGAATTCATAAATTATGAGTGTATGACTCGATTGACTCGTGCAGTCGTGCTCTAAATCTTGTTGACTAGTTATTTTGTTATTGTTAGTTAAGAGTTTGTAGTAAATTTTTATGTAATACTTAATTAATTCACCAATATTGTTGTTCTCTTGGTATATGGTTACTACTAACTACCTATTTATTATGTTATTACTTACTATCCATGAAAAGTCGTATTAATTCAGAATGTTATATTGTTATGTAACATTTAAATCCAAATTATCTGCTTTCGTGATTGGTTGAAAGTTGAATTTAATATTGAATAGGTACCTACTTAATGTATTATTTAAACTGTACCTAAATAAATGTATTGTTCTTTGTTTTCAAAGCTAATATAAGTATTAGTATTTTCAATGAATTGATTTCCTTTTTTAGTGTTTTCCATTGAAACCTGCCAAACATAGTATGTCTCTCTGTTTTTTTCTGTTAATTGCTAGTTGCTACTATACTGCATAATAGGTCTATACTTCACTGCCAATCAGATTTCACTTTTTCCATGTCATGTTTAATACATTCATCATATCTTAACTGTGGTCTTTTAAAAAGTCACTTGACAGTATAGGTTATTCCTTAATAGTGGTTGTTACTAAAGATTTTTGTTTCCTTCTCGCACATTGTTCCCAATTCAATTTTCTGTTTACGATTTCTAACATAATATCTGCACTTTTGAAGAATTTATTGCTGTAGCCTCTCAACATTTTAAGTTAAGTAAACCATTTCTTTAGTCTATGAAAGTTATTCCAAATATAAATTTATATAGCCGTACAGGACCTACAACCTTAAGTGAAACCTCAGTATCAATATGCTAAACTTATGGCAGATCCTAGTTAAACCAACTCTGTGTAAACATATTATCAGCACCATCTCAAAAAAAAATCCTAGCTACGTCACTAAGAAATCAGTTTAAGATAATAACAATCCAAAAATTTTTTAGAGTATTTGAATTCAATTTCCCACATCCGAATTTTTCAAACTTATTAATTTTTTTCTAATTTTATCATGTTTGTACATTGATTAATTTATTTATATAAACTATTTTATAATTTAATTATAAGTTTTAGATTTTTATTATTTTATATATTTTTTTCATGTCTAGCTATTCGTAACTGAATATGTTAACAACACAAAAACCTAAGTATGAACTGGAAAGGACTGAATTAACTGACAAGTCAGTTTTAATCAAACCAAATTTGAAAGGTGATTGGTTAAACTTTTTCATGTTACTTTTACTTTATACTATGCAAGGCTTGCCATTGGGCTTATCTTCAGCCATACCCATACTTTTACAAAGCAAAAAAGATACATCATACCAAGATCAAGTAAATTTAAATATAATGTTATTCATATTATTTAATTGCAATTACTATTTGTAAAATTATATAGTTAACCATCAACAATTTTTGTTTTATTGCAGGCTTTGTTTAGTTTAGTAATATGGCCATTTAGTTTGAAACTCTTATGGGCGCCGTTATTGGATTCATTATATATGCAGAAAATCGGAAAGCGAAAGTCTTGGCTCATTCCTGTTCAATATTTAATTGGTTGGTAATAAATAATACTGGTTGATTCTTTAATCATTGAATACTTATTATTTCAAAAAATATGATAGATATAAATTAGAATAAAAGTTTAGATGGAGTCGCTATTAAAAAACAACATTTGAAAAAAATATGCTTCCGAATATAATATTAAAACTGTATTTTGTCATTCAAAAAAGAAAAAAAGAATTCCATACAGGTATTTGTTATCTTTGTCTTATAAACTTATAACATGGGAAATTTTACATACTCAATAATATATTTTAATCTGTAGTTTCTAAAATTTGATTGAATTTTCCTTTTATAAAATTTAAAGGCAAAAGTATTATTTAGGGTATCTCAGAGGATTTTATTGATATTATTATTTCAAAGTAAGTAATGTTCAATTATTTTGAAATTTACAAAAAAAAAAATACTGTTTATAAAGGTAAATCTACCTATATACCTAATTTACCTATATTTTTAATTACTAGATACCAAGTAATTTTTTTTTTCAAAAACATTTATACTTTTTAAAATAATGAGTATTCAATGACAAAAGAATAATCTGGTATTATATTATTTATAGTATTTATCATCACTTATTTGATTCATCAGATTATTTATTATTTATTAACTGTAAAGGTTCTTACAATATATTTTTATCTACTTTTATTATAGGAACAATATTACTTTATATGGGTAACAGCATTGATATCTTATTACCAGAAAAAGGAAAACCAAACGTTAAAGTACTGGTATATCTCTTCTTTATTACAAACTTCTTATCTGCTACTCAAGATATAGCTGTTGATGGTTGGGCTTTGACAATGCTGAAAAAGTAAGGGTTATTATTATTTATTTTTAAATTTGAATTTAAGAAGATAGTTTATGATAATAATAATTGTATACAGGAATAATGTAGGCTATGCATCTACTTGCAATACATCTGGTCAAATAATAGGCGTGATGATTGGTTCTGTATTTGCCATTTTATTTACATCTGAAGACTTTAGCAATAAATATTTACGAATTACAACTGGTGTAGAAGGGATTGTGTCTATGAAAAGTAAGCATTGAAGTACATTATTAGTAAATAAACCTTATTACTTATATTAATAATACAATAGTAGTGAATAGAGATATTTAATACATTAAAAAATGTGGAGCTTCAATTTTTTAATGATTTTAAGAGAAATAAAAATAATACAAATGTATGATTCTTACATTTAAATCAATTTTATCTACAAAAAAGGTAAGACTCATTATATATAAGTAACTTAAATGTAAAAAGGCACACCAAGTACAAAGACTAGATATTTCTAAGTATAAAAAAGTCTACTACTTGTAGAAACAGTCGTCAAGTTGTGTGTAATTATTTTAAGTGCTTTTAAGCATAAGTGCACACAGATATTGTTGCCAGGTTAGTCATAGGTATATACTATATAGGTATTTATATTATTTAAACTTAATTTTTATTCCATCAAATAACAACCAATAACTATTCTGGAGGTCTAATTTTAGACATGTGTTTAACCTGGGGCCCACACATAAAAACTGAAAGATAGATTCTTAACACTAAACTTCATCTATTATGGCCTATTCTTAAGTCTCAACTCTCGATTAACAATAAACTATTAATATACAAATCAATGTTAAGACCTATCTAGGTCTATGGCATCCAAATATGAGGATATGGTAAGCCTTCCCAAATACAGTTTATCGTACTATATAAGCCAAACAATTTCTATTCGCCAAAAAACATCTGCGCCATGGTATGTCTAACCTCTTACTACATAAAGATCTTAAAATTAAAACAGTCTCTATAACAGCTGAAAATTACTATAAAAAATCCCACGCCAAAACAGTTAACTTCACTAATCCATTGATCTCTAACTTAACTAGTGAATCCATGCCAAAAAAACCCTCATGTTGATTAAAAAAATACTGGTGTCTTAGCTATCAAATTTACTTATTGTATTGCAGTATATAAATATATTACAGATTGTGAATACTCTTTTATTTAATATTTATGTATGAAAAAAAAACTATTGTGGAGAAGAGCAGAGGAGTTTATATTTATTTTTACCAATTACTATCAAACAAACATTAATTTAATAAAAAATTATTTTAAATATTATTTGGAAAAAAAATTGCTAAATTTACAGTTATTAATTAAAATGCTACAAGTAAGTAATACATATAAACTATAAGAGTAACCTCGGGTAGCAGGCTTCTGTGCCTGACGGTAGCAATAAGTATGGCTTATTTATGTCAAGCGCTGCTTTATTTTTTGATTACATGGTAAGTAATCAAAGTAGGCAGTTAAATAACCTTGATTACCTTGTATTTAAAAACAATTGAATATTTAAGAATCAATCTTCTATCTAAATTTTAAATTCATAAATCTAAACAAATTTTTTTATTAAAATCAATCTTTATATTGGATTATAGTAGCTTAGTAAATTCCATTAATCTATGTAAAGTAGTTTTTTTTATTAAACTATGATAAAAAAAAATGGTTTTTTAACATAAATACCTAATATTTAATACTTAATAAATATGTGTATACTGTATAGAATATATATCTATACTTAATACTTATGTTTACTTTTAAATTTGTATAGCCTTGTTATACATTTGGGGTATTCTATATATATTGATAACAACATTGATTGCTATATTCAAAAACGAAAAAGATAATACACTAGAAKATGGCTATGTAAAACTAAATATCTCTAAGACCTATTCACTTTTATGGGATATTATGAAGCTTCCTAGTATACGAATATTGGCAATAGCCTTATTGACAGCAAGGGTAAGCATAGTCAAAGCAAATTAAATACTTTTACTCACTTCTAATTGGTTTAAAAATATTAGGTATACATTGTTTAAACATTCAGCTTGTACAATATTACATTATATATAAAATTAATTTTTGATATATAAACATCTAAATATCTTAATTTCAAAATGTATAACAGATAACAGAAAGAAAGTCTAAAAATTTTACTGTGCATTTTATTATAAGAATTATTATATTATTGAATAAATAATGGTGTTATTGTTTTATGTAAATGTCATAAATACACAATAACAATTTTATTTTATTTTAGAATTGTATCAATTTTAATTAATACAATTCTATAATAAAGATTGGATTTGCTGCAACAGACAGTATATCAACTTTAAAACTTATTGATGCTGGTATATCAAAAGATGACATTATGGTTATTAACACTGCAATGTATGTTGTAAAAATGATTTTACCATTAATCATAGCAAAGTACACTTCAGGACCAAAACCATTAAGCTTATACCTAAAAGTGACTCCTATCAGGTAAATAAATAAATTTCACCACAAAATATACAATTATTTTCTATAGAATTAATTAATATAGTCCATATTGGAATTCCATCTAGTAACATTAAGGAATAAAAGTTTATGCACAATGGCAAATAATATATTTTCTTAAAAAATTGTTTGTTCAATGTTTATTACAATTTCATTACTTCTATAATTGAGTTATTGTAATAAAGTCATTATTCAATAAATAAGTTGAAAATCAAAAAAAAAAAAATTACTTCAATAAATTTAAAAAATATAGATATTTCCTACTAATTAATAATTGTACCTACTTGCCACATACTAATAAATATTTGTATTAATATTTTTTTCATTCATAAGTTAGCCAGCAATACACAAAAGTACATAAAAAAGTAAATTTATTATTTCTTTATGTTTAGTAAAGAATAATATTCTCAACCATAAAACTAAGAAATGTTAAACTTTATTATTGTTAGATTAGGTCCAATCCCCTGTCTGAAAAACTATTATTTGTTACTCTTTATAGTACAAGCATGTTTATAAATTTATATTTCAGATTACTTTGGAACATTGTATTTATTGCATTAATATACTATACACCTACAATTATAAATATTAATGGGGTGGTAAATATTCCGATATATTACTATGCAATCTTAATTTTTATATTATCAATACAAGAAGTAAGTTGATTACATTTAGAATTAATTCTTAAAATACACTTAATCCTATTTTACTTGGAGGCATTGATTAATGATTATTAAAAAATTGATATTTTACTAAAATAATCTACAAAAATTAACAAAATGCATTTATACTTTTAAGGTCCTTTCATACATGATGTTTGTAGCTATATTAGCCTTTTTTTCTCGGATAAGTGATCCTCGTTTTGGTGGTACTTACATGACATTGTTGAATACACTTTCAAATTTAGGATTTGTATGGTCATCTACTGTAGCACTTCAATTAGTTGATTTGCTTACATCAAAAGAATGTTCCTGTGATTCCATGAATAATTGTTCTACAATAGATCTTCAAAATGTAAGAAATTCTAAAATTAATTATTGATTAATTTAATTTACTCTAGTTTATTAATTAGGTATATGTTTACTATACAATATATTATTATCATTATGACCATTATGTTAACATAAAACATTGTTATTTAAGTCTTTAACAGCGTTTTTAACAAATATTCATTAATACATAATATGCTTTTTAATGATGTAGAATTTAAGAATACATTTTTACCCTATTTCATTAAATTTAAGATGTAAATAGGTAGTATTTCAAATTCAAATTACCTATTTTGTCTATTAAGATACTAATTATACTGATTTCAAATCTAAAAAAAAAAAACTGACTGATATGTTGGATCTTTTTTGGAATAATATTCGTTTAAAGTTTTGATTATGCTTTAGAATTAAATAATTCAATATTGTGTTGTCATTACAACTTTTAATTTAATTTTAATTTTTTTGCATTTATATTTTTTTTAGGTTTGTAAAGCTAAAGAAGGAAATTGTATTGTTTCAATTAATGGATATTACATTGAAGTTATTCCATGTACAATCATTGGAATTGCTTGGTATATTTATTTTAGAAATATCTTAAAAAATCTTCAAATTAAAAGTCCTTCTCATTGGTTGGTAAATGTGAAAAAACCAGTAACAGAAAATATTGAAGAATCATTCCCTTTGACTGTAACAGGGTAATGTTATTATGTATTTAATTATCCATTCAAATGAATAACCTAACTTAACTATTGCATATAACAACATTATACATGTTACAACCATCTGATTTTACTAGTACCACTGATATTAGAGATATTAATATAATTTTGGTAAGTTTATGTTTAATTTTATCATAAATCATGATATAGGTATTTAAATATGTGTTAATATAAGTAAAAAAGAATCAATTGAAAATTAAGAGTATGTACCTATGATTGTTCTAATAAATTATATTATCTTTGATAGTATTTATTTTTTTTATTATTATTTATAGAATGATAAGAGTAAAAATACCTATGTTGGTATTTGATTTTGATAGATCATAATATTATAACTACTGCCTATGTCTTTAATTTATACTGCATATTATTGAAAAATAATTATTAAATTAATATTATTCAGTAAAAAAATGTATTGTAAAATTAAAAAATAATCTGCACCATTATACGTTTAGTTATTGAATCTAAGAAAATATTTCTATGTTTTCAATTGGTAATTAGAGATCCTCAAATGTTAAATCATTTCAAAAAATGCTTATATTAAATTAAATATTAAAATCAGGAGACTACTTGCATAATATAATTCCTCTTAAAAACTAAAGAGTTGAAGTATTAGTATGTTTACTCAATTGAAGTTGCTACTAAGTAGGTGGTACGCAGATATAAAAAGGTTAAGAATCGATGATTTAAATAAAATATTTCTGATAAAATATCCATTAAATAATTTGTGATAGAAAGAAATTTTTATCTTTTCGTGAGGCATTAGTACAGCACTCTTTAAAGATTTCAAAAAATCTCAAGAATTTGAATATATTGTCTTCAAAACTTAAGAATAGGTGCTTAACCTACCTATTTCAAAATGTCAAAATCATTATTGAAGATAAAAAATTGAATGAGCATGCTTGGACGCTTGGTGCATCATCTATTAAGTATACAGATCTGATAATTTTTACTGAATAGTGAATGTTAAATATGTCGCTCGTAAGTTATATCACTGTGTGTGGTGTGCCTACAGTCAAACGCATATTCTGAATGAATAAAAAAAATTTCAGAAGAAATATTTTAATAGGCACCTACATTAGTGCACAAGGGCTGGTTTCACTACTAAGAGTTTAAGTCTGAGTTACCGCAAAAATAAATAAACAGTTCATGACCCACCACCCAGGGGGTCTTACTGTCAGGGCCGTATTAAGGAATTTGACACCAAGGGGCAACAAAAAAATGCGCCTCATTAATCATTATACAAAATACAAATTTAAATTATAAAAAAATAGCCGCCCGGGGCAACAGTACCCTGTAGCCCTCCCCCCCCTAAATATGGCCCTTCTTACTGTACTTCTTTTCAATATTAAGGATTTGAATTTAATTAAATATTACAAGTAGTTAGTTGCTTCCAATCTTGTAACTCCATTTTTATAGTGCTTAACCACAATTTTTCTCTATTCTCAACAGATTTCTACAGGACTAGTTATTTGATTTGATTCTAAAGAATCGTGTGTGTAATATGTTATGGTCAGGCCGACACTGGTTGCCCGGCGTATTGTATATGCAAAATAAGTACATCATTGCAATGTTTATTATTATGAAAGCTACTAGAGACTTAATTTTTACGATACCTTTTTGTACTAATATGAAAAGGATAGTTACTAAGAAAGGATTCCCCAAAATTCAGGCCATTTTTTTGTGAATATTCTCTTCGTGTCCTCTCCTTCTCCCTTAAATTACAGTTTATTTTGAATATTGCTTTAAAATTCTTAAATTATAGTTTGAACAATTTAAGAACATATGTATTCTATTTATTTATAATTCGACAATGAAAGAAGTTAATATTTAATTAAAATTTAATTTAATTTGTCATGCCATAAGCGTGATTATCTTATCGTTTAACGGTTCGGCCGTGACGCGTTCACCCTCCTCTCCATTACTACACCGAGCGCAATCCAAAGAATGAAATGTAGAAAACCCAATAATGTAATAATAATAATAATGCTACAATGTAAATTTATAAATACAATGTAGAATAATAAATATAAAATTAATAATAATATGTAAAATGTATAAAAGCCTACATAGCTGCAGGAAATATAAATCAAAGGTGAAAACAACAAGTAGTTTTTCCTTTTACGCATATTAATGTAATCCAGCAATATTAGGGAGTAAAATTAGGATATTATAATAAGACGCCATTATACGTCATTCATAGAATCCGCATAAATACGGGTAGAGCACTTACTATGTTCTAGAAGGTAGTCAGCACTGATCGAAGGCTTTACAGTTTGCTTTATGATATATTTGTGATTCACGTATAATAATATAATATAATAATAAATTGTTTTTATTCTATAATAAATACGAACCAGTGTTCTATTATTTTAGGTACCTATCTTTCTCAACAAAACATCTCAAGACTGACGAAGATGTGTGCTACGTCCTACGTCGTTTAAATAATTAATTGTAATTGTGCTCAACGTGTCCTGCACGGCGATCACTACAGATTACAGAAATGTAAACACGGTTAGATTAGGATAACCAGCTTGTTATAATAATATAAATAATATAATATCCTAAAAATTATTTTACACGAAACGACTCAAACGACACGACACAAGCAGTTCACCGTTGTGAACCCGCCAACCCGGCTTTAGTTTTTACTATTTTAGTACAATTATGAATATCGAACATCGTCATGAGAAAGCGCCAAAACGGTTAGTTTCTGCAGTTCTTTCTGCCGGACTACATTGAGGCAATAATGTTAAATAATTCTTTATTTAAACTACAATGTATTGTTCTCATTGCATATATATATTATATATGTGTGTGTGTATAGATAATATACCTACTTCTATTTTGTTTGTATATATTATAATGAACCATGAACGTTGTAAATTATTTCTAGAGTAGAGATATACTCATTGTATATTTGTATAACATGTATACCGAACAAAAAGTTACTATATTATGAAGTAAGCACGTCGTGCGTAATCATGTATATTTAGTATAAACTAAACTCATAATACAAACTCTTAAGTCTTAGATCAATTTAATGAATTGCGGAAAAAAAATTTCCGGGAAAAAAAATCCCCAGACCGCAATATTACTCACAACCTCATGAAAATGGTTGAACATATATTTTTAAACGTTAATTAACACCTACTCACAGTAAAAACATATAGCATATAAAAATGTCGAATATATTTCGAAATATTTCGAATAATTAATGCGTCAATAATACAAAATATAGATAATACTAATCAAATTAATAATATTATAATAATTATCAAACAATAATCATTAAACGTAGGCACCTA